CCACGCATTACCATTAGATAAGGGCTTTTTCCGGCGAGTCAAGTGCGGCTGCTTAATGAAATTAGCCGCTGTTGTCTATCACCGTTCCCAGCACGCAACGGTATCACATGGGGTTCGAGAAGTAAACTCGACAAGGCTCAAAATTCGAGCTTCACGATCAAAAAAAAATTGATCACTGTATCAGAAAATCCAAATTAGAAATGACTGCTACACTCAGAGAAACTTTTTCACGATGCAACCCCTCTGAGAAAATTTTTGGCTAGATTAAGAACTGGCAAGAGGTCGATATAAAAGAAACCAGGATCAGTCAAAAAAAAGCTATTTGTTCAAATTACTTCTCATCTTGAACTTACATAACCAGCATAAAACAGATAAACGAATCAAAAATTCAGAACTTCCGAAAAAAAAAACTGGAAATTTTTTCGTATTATTTGCAAAATACCGCATTCGGGCATACCCGTCGAAGACACAATGCGTTATAAAAATTTAATTTTTTTACAAACTTAACAAAGCTGTGAAGTGTGACACAAACAGAGAAATATGATTTTTTTGTTCGTCTTCAGAATATACTTAATTGAAACTTTAAAAAAACAGCTTACATGGAAATTTGACTTTTTTTCAAGGTAAATGCAGGAATGATGAAAAAAAGGAAAAACAGAAGATCTCTAACAACCGGTTCATGAAGATCTGAAAGTTTCCTGAGATGATAAAAAACTTTTCTTAAACTCGGGTTCATCAGTATCAAAAAAAAGTTTATAAGCCAAGCGGAAAATTGTTACGCTTTGATAATTTTCTTCAATTTTAGCTCTTTTTTTCAAGAAAATTGTTTGAGCGAAGGGTTACGAAATCTTCCTTCAATAAATTGAAACGTTCTTTGCAGAATTTTGAGATGGCTTCAACTGAAAACGTCCTTCCTTGCAAGCTGATGTTTTCAATTTTTTGAGATGGGGAGGCATGAGATCCTCGGAGTATCTCTTAACTGTAAAGATAAAGTTCAATAGTTCCAAACGGTATGATCGAAAATTCAAATGAGGTCTCATCTGTTCGCAAAATTCAAAAAAAGGTAACTTCGGCCAGTTTTGGAATATAATCCGACAGTTGGCGGCGGGTTACAACACACAAATTATTCAACTGGGTATTGACTACGAGGTCGGATAGTTGAAAAACGGGAAGTTCGTTTACATATAGGCAGAGGCAGGAGAGTGAAGTCTCGATAAACACAAAAATTATACGGAGTTGAGAGAGAGAGTGAGTCCGCGTTGCGATCGAGGCGCACGCCCTAACCATCAGCACTGCGCACAGTGCTTTCCAACCCGTACTATTTGCATACCGCAGCCAGCCGTCAGCGAGAACAGCCAATTTTCACCTTTTCATACCTTCCATGAGCTCTATTTCAAGTAACCACCTTTTGAGCTGTTCAGAAATTCTTGTCCTCTACAGTCGATCCTTCCCGGCTTGAAAGGCAAGATAGGTAGATTGGTGAGAAACTACTTTTTGCTTGTCCGGGGCAGTTTTTTGGCGGAAATCTTCGGATCAAGCGCATAATGGAGAAAAAGTGGAAAAAAAGTCTGAAAAAAAGGAAGCTCGCATTTGACCTCAAGTTTCTCGCCAGAAAACCGCCTCGCGTACCCATCGCTTCCCCCTTGCCAATCTACACATCTCGCTTTTAAGTTGGGAAGATCGCCTTTACCCAAACATTAGAGAGGATAGCCGGATCGTATGTTCAGAAACCCTCTTTGGACTGAAAAATCCTTCCATGAAGATATCAAAGTAAAACATTCTGAGTAACTCCAGCTAACGTATTCCGCTTCAAGTAATTTTCTTCCTTCGGACCTCAAAAATGCAAAAAACGCTTCTAAGTCCCATCGAGCGTTTTGTCACAGGCAAAATACAATTCTTGTTTTCTGTTTTTGCATTACTACCTATCTCATAAGAGCATCATCGTTTCATGTTTGTCTTTTAATTTCAGACGATTTTATTTCCAGCTGGCTTCTGGAAAAAATTTTGAACTATAACGTTTGTTTATCTTTAAAAATACTATTACTCAAAAAAAGTTAAAAAAATCACACGAGGCTTCTCTTTTTTTTCGAACGTCTTTGAAAAAAATTGATCATTTTACCCTGTGTTTTTTTCAAAAAAATAGTGTTTATTAAAGTAGTTTTGAGAATCATATGTTAAATAAGCCTATTGAAAAGTTCTTCAACTGAGAGATTGAATTTTTGCGCACTTTGATAGGATACCCGATATTTGAAAGCAAAAAAAGAAATTCAAAAAGTTTTTTTCAAATGAAAAAAAGCCCGAAAAAGAAAAATCTGCCACATTTGGATAATCGAATCGAAATTAGCATACGTGTTTGAGAGTTGTTTCAGCTGGAAGACCAATCCCTGATGTTTTGTTTGCTATTCGTGTTAATTTTATGAATTGTTCTCTGTTTCAAAAACACTTTAGAAATAAAATCACAGAAAACGAGTTAATTGTTGTGGGAGGTTTTGAAAATACAGGATCAGAAAATAAATTTTTTTTCATGCAATTTCATTTGACAACAAAATTTGAAAAACATTAAATTCGAAGCATTGTATAAAACGATTAAATCGAAAATTGATTGGGGTAAAGGTTTGAAATGAAAAGGACGAAAAGAAAATCAGCGAAATCATTTGGCGCTCATATCTTGACAAGGGCAAAACAATGTGGATCGGCAGACGCGCGCCAAATTCCGCGCGAAAAGGGAAGATCATCAAGGTGTCTTTTTGAGTTCAAAACTGAAACATTTTCGCAACTCGATGATTTTTTCAGGGATACCAGAGTAAACTCAGGAGGTGAGAAAAACCAATCCGATGATTTTTCGTTTTAGTCTCTCAACTCGTGGTCATTCCAAAAATCTTGAGAATTTTTCAACGCGGAACTTATTTTTTGAGAATGCTGAAACTTTGATTAAAAAGCGGAGTAATGAAAATGCACGCTGGAATAATAATCGTTCCCCGTTGTCCCTTTTGTCTACTGTTTCTGAGTCAGTGGGCCTTCGAAAAACGCAGCGCTGCATCATTTCGAGAGTTAAATGCAACTACTGTGTGCATACAACTTGCGAGGGTTTTTTTCTAATTTTCTAATCTTCTCGCTCTTTTCCTATCAACTATCTCTCAGTTGCTTTTTCAACAAGTTGCGAAGATACTCGGAAAAAAAAGTCAAATTCGCAACATTTTCTTTTGATTGATAGCGACGTCGGAAATTGATAATAGACTACCTGATGTGTATATTGACTGAAAAGTAACGCGAGAGAGGCGCCCGACCGAAACCCGAAGGAAAATAGGCGACGGCACTGAAGGAGATTGGTAACGAAAACTGGTTGCCAATTTGCATGTGCATTTCTTCTCAAATTAATCAATTCATTCTATTGCCCCACTAGGTCGCAGTTCTTGATCGCAGCAGCTTGCCAAGTTGTTTTTTCAACAACAAAAATCAACCGCAACCAAAATTCGGCGTTTTCCGATATCGAGAAATGGGAATTTGTATTTTGGAAACGGTCTGAAGTCATAATTATGGAAGAAAGGGGTTTTCCAAAAATCCAAATATTGAGAAAGAGAAAAAAGAAAACAATCACAGAAACTTAAGTATTAAAATTTAAGCCTAACTTAGGAGTTGAAAAAAATTCATGTAAAAAATCTTTCCAGAATGAGGATAAATTTAGCATTTTCATTGCTATTGAATTTCTTGCTGTATTCTTCAAAAAGGATAGGAAGCTAGGAAAATCTGAAGAATAATATTTTGTTTTTCATAATTTTTAGGAATAAGAATTTTCTAATATCGTTTGAGACTATCAAAAACTGAGTAAATTAACGCTGAAAAAGAAAAAAAAAGGAGGGAAGACCTTTTAGAGCACATAAATATCATTCCTTCAGGAATAAGCTCGAAAATGATCTCTAATAAAATTATCACAAGTCCTCAGGCATTCAGGCTTTGAAAAAAACGTGCTTCTGAGAGAAAACAGGGACGTCGGCCTTTGGCTCGTTGACCTCCGCCTTTGGACAGTTCAACAGGCAACCAACCTGCCTCCGTGGATCCATTTTACAATAAATATGCAAGCGTGAATCGTTGCGACCTTGCATTAACTCGACTCGCCCTTTTCCTTTTTCTCTCTTCTGTGTCTCCAAATGTTGCTACGTTTTTTAGCCCCATTCCATCGTCCTCTTTTTTTCCGGCCTTTACAGTCCATAAGCGGCGCGTAGGTGTCGCTTGTTGCGACATTTGACGCGCCAACCGCATTTTCAGTTCATCTCTCGGGATGGTCGCTCCCTTCTCTTCATTCATGCCTTTCTACTCACATTAATCATTCAATGAACGCTACTCAAATGCTGATAACATCCGTTCGTTTTTTTTTTTGAGTCTGGGAAACTTGAAGAGAGAGGGTGAGAAAACTTCTCATGTTTCAGTCTTTGTGAAGGGAGAAATGCGAAAAAGTTTCTTGAAGCTGAAAAAATTGTGATGGTTTTTGAGAGAAGTCATCAGTCGCTGTATAAACAGCTATTGCAGGTTAGATCCCGGCTGATAAATTTCACTTCACGTATTTTAGTCAAACTTCAACTGGTTATTGGGTTTTTGCTATAAAACGTGTCAAAATCGTGTTTTTGGTATAATATACAGATATGACCATTCATGAAAAAAATTCACTTTTTCTGATTCACGTTTCTTTTCCGTCTCTTCATCTAACAATATTGACAAATTAATTTAAGAGATTTATCAAGAAATGACTTACAGCGGATCACAAAAAGTAGGCATAACAGATGAGCTTTCTTTGGAATGCAAAGTTTTGAAAAGAAAATATATACATGATGATAAAAATTCAAAAAAAAAATGAGTGAGACCAGAAGAGATGCAATGGGTACCGTATGCGACGTGAGATACATCTAGAAAAGAAAACGAGCAATTTCAACAAGCAACAAGCAATAAGCAGGTAATTAAAAAAGATAGGTTGACTATAAAAAAATCAAAAGACTAAAAACTGTCTAATCGAACTGAAGACTCGTTAACGCCACGGTCGATTCCGTCATGGCTTCTTCGGCGCTGAGTATGAAAAGCTTTAAAAATTTGAAAACTAGAACTAACCTTGTTGTGACGGAAGTTGGGTACATAAGCCCATCACTACTCGTCTCCGACTTTTGGCCTGGACTGAGAGGACCTTCTGATGATCTTCGGCTTCCTTCAGTTTCCTCGCCAGAAGCACCTCCGCAGGTCCCTTTCCTGTTACCTTGATACTTCTTTTGCCGCGCTCTGGAGTTCTGAAACCGAGGATATCATCTATTCGAAGTTCTTTTATTCTTACCTGAAACCAAACTTGAGTCACTCGTTTGCTGAGACCGGTCATGTTGGCAATCCTTTCGAGGTCGGCGCCGTCTGGATTACTGTCGATTTGGAAATGTGCCTGAAGAAAATCTCGTTTGCAGCCGAACCTTATTATTTTGATTGAATTCGGTTTGAACTTCCGACGAGTTTTAGTGAGAATTATAGGAAATAAGTTATAAAATGACCTGTAAGACGCTGAGTTGCTCTTCTGCAAAAGTGGTGCGGACGCGTTTCGTTTTCTGTTTCTGCTGACCAACGCCGCTCTCGCCTTCTACTAACTCCACGAAATGTTGCTTGCACAGAAGTCGACCTTCTTGTAGAGCGAATTCTTCTCCCGTGCTCAGTTGTCTGAAAACAAACGTAGATACTGAGTGAAAATGCATGAAAGAAATCAAATTGAAAAAATATACTTTTAACAACTTGATAAATTCTGAATAACCTTTTACACTGATCACAAGCAAAGCAGGCAAGGTGAAACACAAAAGACCGCGCTCTTCGAACCCAGTCTGTGGATTGTATAACTCTCTCGCACGAAGAACACTTTGTTCCAAACTGCCTGTAATGAGAATGTTTGCGTAACCCCTTTTCGAACAAAACATGATTTTTCAGTGAGGAATACGTTTTCCAGTTTTTTATTTTCAAGAAATTCATGAAGGGAGATGCGATCGTATAAATTTCTTTCACTCAAAAAATTGACTATGGACTATAAAAAAAATCTCGAAATACACAAGTTTTCGTAGTCCAAGTTTTACTAATTACTTCTTATATACAAGGACGTCTGAAACTGTTATAATGTTTGAAACTTCTCTTTACGCAGATATACATATTTTCAGTGAAGCTCAAAAAGTGAATACCTTTCAGGCCACCATACGAGAAAAATTTAAAAAAATTAATGAAAAAAAGAAAACTATGGAGGAAATTTTTTTCAAATATTAAGTCTTGAAATTCTCAGGCTATGCAAGTAGTTCAAGTCAAAAAAAGCATCCGGAAAAACTAAGAAAAATCTTATTATTACATAAACAATATTCTTGATTTTTTTGAAGAGAAAAAAAGAGAATAGAGAAGTTTTTTTCAAAAAAACGAAAAATTATGATAATACATAACTTGCAGGAAAAAGTCTCTAGAACAATAAAAAAAAATCGAGAACTATTGAAAAAGTTTTATTTTATGTGGTAATTTTTGCGGTTAGCCTTGAACTTCAAGGTTTATATCATTATTTTCTGAAAGGCGCTGTACATTGTCTCATGAAGTACAGTGTTTTTGAATACTAATCAGTTTTTTCAAATGACTAGGTCAGAAAGAGCCAAAGCACTGTTGTAGACAGAAAAACGAAAGTCAAGCAGGCTTGACAAATGTTTCTTGGAGAAATCTCTCTGAGTTCAAGATTTTTAGAAGCTTCGAGCTACCCTGTATATCATAACTTGATTCTCCCGACATGAACGACCTGATGTTAAAGAAACAATGAAGTGAATTGAAAGAGGCCGACAAACGGCAGATCTCAGATGCCGCCGGAAAGCCATCTGTCAAAAGGAAGTCTCTGGATACTCTTGACGGCCTTCTAATCCGACGACAGACCTCTTTTTTGCCGATTCCCCGTGTCTTACAAGTGTTGCGCTTGTTTGCAACATTTTGCGCGTGCTCGCGAGGCGGTCCGACGCCGAAATAAACGAATTCGAGGATTTATTCACTTTGTGGCTTCTTCCTCCCGAGGAGCCGTAAGGAGAGCACAAAGCGCATAAGGCATAACCCAGTTATCGGATGCACCACCGGCCACGATAACTCCTTTCTTCGCCTCACGACTCCTTTCTTTTGAACTATCGATTTTCAAGCCATCAAAACTTTGAAAACAAGAAAACGGAAGTCAAAAAATACGAAATTACCACAAAACTATCCGAAAAAATTTTTGGACTACTTTGAGGCTCGACATTTTTCCAGCATCTTCGATGACTTCCAGAGCTTTTCAATGTTTAACCGGAAGGTTTGATAGACACACTCTGGCTACCTTGAAAATTTTAGCGGAAGATTTTTTTGATTATCACTTTTCATGGTTAAAAGATCTAATGAGTCATCTTTTTTCGAAACATCTACGCAAGAACGTGGGATAGTTTCATCTTCAACTTCACCTTTTTCTAGTCAACATCTCAACTCGATCTGAACCATTTCGAAAAAAAACTTCCACGTGGTTTCCAGAAGACTAGAAAAGGTTTCAATCAAGTCATGAGAAATCCCAAAATTGGAAATTCTTGTTTTTGACGAAAAATGTCATCTTTGGGAAACTTTTCACTATACATCAAATAACAAAAAATTCAGAGCATAGTTGTGTGACGGGAAATTTTCATTGATCTTTTCAAATTTTCAGATAAAAAAGTTTGAGGGTCTCATATATGCGAGCTTGAGTGACTTGAACTGATTTTTTGTGCCTTCGGTAGTCTTTTCTCAGAATAAAGGACTCAGAGAGTTTTGAGGCAAAGTTTTGATTGAGTTTGGCAACGCAAGCGAAGCTGGAAACTTCGTTTTGAGCCGAGGGTTCTGCGATAGCGTGCAATAGAGACTAATTCGCAAGCATATCGCGCAAATCTTATAATAACTAGGTGGATGTCGTTTGGGCTACTGTAATAGCTGGTAACCATCGAGGGTTGCGTAATGGACAACCGTTTGACAGCTGTGAGCTGGAGATTTCTCAGGGTGCTAATCAGAAAAAAACCATCTATTTATTTTTTTAGAGGAGTCGAAATCGTTGTGTTTTTAGGAAAATCGAACAAAAAGAATATTTCCTAACTCTCGTTTTTATTATAATAATTCCGGAAAAAGAGCCGCAAAAAATTATTTAGACATAATAAAAAAACTAATGGCTAGTTGTACAGCAAAAAATACCACGTACAAAAAGTATAGAGAAAAAAAAAATCCAAAATCCATCCCTCACTTAACTTTTTATCAAAGTACTGAAAACTTTTATCAAAGTACTGAAAAACAATTGTTCGTTGAACAACTATTATAGTAATTCGTTTTGACACATTTCCCTGTTTGTAGGCTTTGATTCGCCCGTTACAGTACACGGTAGGAAAAAAGGACACAATCAACATTTGCTGTCTCCAAGTCCCAAAGGACGATGCGCAACAGACTGCGACTTCTCGAATTAACATCGGCAGCGGCCGATTTTCAATTAATGGCCCCTTACTTTGAAAGCTTCATATTTACAGTCAACATCTGTTTTTAGTGGTAAATCTTTTTGTGCTTTTAGAATAACAGAAAAATTTCGGAAAATAATTTCTTGAACAAACCTAGAATAACACTGCTTGCAGAAAAAGTTAGAATCTTTGTAATAGCAAGAAGGCTGGCTGTTCAGGGATTTCGAGCAGGAAGCACATCGTAAGCATTGTTCGTGCCACGTTCTGCAAATATATAAGAAAAAAATATCTTGAAAAAGTCAGGTTATTAATAACGGAACCATAAATTTGGAGTCAATAGTTCAGTTTCTAGCGAATGAGAGTTCAATAAACGCTTTCAATCAAAGAAGTGAGTTTATCATATTAACTGAATTAGTAATGATAAAAAAAAAATACTTCAGCTTTTTTTCGATGAGAAATGTAAATCTTCAAAAAAACGGTTCTGAAGTAAACTGCAGCCGGCGTTTGCAGTCAGGTCTTTGATGAAAAAAATGTTGGAGGAAAAAAATGTATAATTTTTAAGAAAAAGTTTAAACTCGGAATAAAAAAACTCAAAAAAGGAAACTCAAAAAAAGACTAGAATTATTTTGAGACAAACCTTCCATTAACAGTAAGGAGGACGCGTTCCTGTATGGGCAAGTCGCAACTCGAGCAGACGTCGCATTCGAGCTGCAAACACCGTAAGCTCATGAACAGCCAGTGATTAACAACAGGAGCCGAGGCCGAGCCTGGACGAAATCCGGAGAATAAAGCAATTAGGCCGCATTCAACAACCAAACTGATACGCTGGACAAGTCTGGAGTGTCGCTGAGCTTTTTCTCAGCAGTGCAAATCTTTTGGAAATTTTTTTCTTGTCGGAAATTTGGGAAGCAAAAAAAGAAACACGTTGGCAAAGTAGTTTTTAAAAAAATATGTATTGAACTATATCTTTGTGGGAAATGTGAAGATCCAGTTCCAGTACACCCGAATCGTTGGTGAAATTTTTTTTGGCACCAAATTTTCAAAAAGTCTCTTTATAAAAAAATTCTTTGTATTTAGCGTTTGCTGCAAAATGATTAAAGGGGCGGTGAAATTCTTTCAAAACTAGTTATATTGCGGGTAACAACAAAAATCGTCAATTTCATACTTTGGTTCTTTAAGCCTTCTAGATGAAAAAAAAAAATTCCTTTACTTAAAATGAATGAAAAACTGAGTAAAAAAATATACTTATCTCTAATTTGAGTATGAATGATTCGGAGACAAAATAAGAGAGAAAAAATTGAACAAGGTAACTAAAAAATGAAACAACTTGAACATCATTTTCAATTGATATCAAAGAAAAAGATCCATCTTGTCCAAATTGAGTTTCATTCGGAAAACTTCGAGATATAAACAGTTAAGAGTTCGTATTTTACCTCGATTTTTTCACTACCAAAAAGTTGAATGAGTTTTCTCAGAAGTCTGAATTTCTATGTGAAATTCATTAGTTCATGATAACAAATAGAATCTATTTCCTCCGATAGTCATATGCACAGATTTACAGAAGGATCTCAAACCAAATCTATAGCGTTGTTTTTCTTTTTCAAGTGATAACACGACGCGAAACGACACGAAGCATACCTTGATTGGCTGGGAGGCATAAATGAACTCCTCGTCGTCGTTGATTCGCGTCGTGGGGACGAAGCGTCCGGCCGTCGGCTCCTCGACGTCAGCAGAGCCGATGGCCGTGAGCTCGGCGCTGCGACACTCAAAGTCTTGCGAAGTCACGTAGTCGGCTCGTGTCGCCGTGACAAAATCACCGGCGAAGCCACAGCCGAACTGCTGCTGTTGCGGTTGATGAACCGCCATCAAGATTCGGCTAACGAGCCCGATAACAAGGCAACAAGCCGCGCTAACGAGGCTGACCGACTCGCGCACGTCTACAGAAAACTGGGTGGTTCCAGCGATGCCACGCCTCCGCGCTTTGCCTATTGGTGGACATCGGCTCTTTCGAAATCCCCGTTAGGTTTTCCCAGAGTGGATGGCAGGCCGTTCTTGCTTCCACTAAGAACCATGCCTAAAACAGAGTTTTAGTAGTTAAAGTAGTGTTTGAATATGAAATTACAATTCTTCTCTCTTTGCTTGATCCGAAAAAACAAATGTTGACTTCGAAACATCATAACACGTATAATTTTTACTCAAAACCAAAAGAAAACATTTTTTGGGGTAACGAAACTTTTGAGATGAAAGTTTGAGTTTACAAAAAAATTAAAAAAACAGAGGGAAAAAAAGGCGAAATAACAAAACTTGGTAAATCAAGTAAAAGATATTGAAAAAAATTCTAACTCAGTCGAAATTTAGTTTCACGATAAAGCTCTTTTTTTCAATGCTGGTGCGAAGTTAAAATGCAAAAAAAGTTGACAGAGAGTTTTTCAAGAATCGCAAAACTCACCGATTGTGACGCCGGGTTGTGTTTCATCCAGAGTTTTCATAAAAATTTTTGCTGTTTTTTTCGAAAGATTTTTGTACCATTGAAATTTTAAAAAAAGCAAACTTTTTTTCGAAATTCAGCCCCTCGCAAAAACCCGAATTTTTCTTTTTGAAATCAACATCAATTTTCCCTGCAACCAAAATATCTGTCAAAAAAACTCTGGAAAAATTCACTAAATATAGCTGTGTTCAAACTTCCAGCTCATCGTTAGTTCGTTTTCGAGCGCATAAAAAAACGGGAATTTACTTTTCATATGTAAGAGTTATAGTTTTTCATTTTTAGAATTGTACTAGAACAGTTTCGAGACTCATACAATAAAATAATGTCAAAACTTGAATGAGAATGAAAAGAGAGAATGGAAAAAAACGACAATTCACAGGTTCGCTTGCTGAAAAAAGAAGTGATATTGCGCCTCTGTTTTTTTTCTACCTTCGTGCATCCAGTCCGCTCACTGCGTATTCAACATAATAATCGACAACGTTTTTATTTATATTATATTTGCAAAAAAACTTGGCATCTATTCTTAATTTTGCATTTCTTTTTTGTTAGTTAGACTGAAATTCTTGAAACAGATTTTTAATTTTTCTCGTTCATTTCAATTTTTTTAAGACGTATGGAATTTTCAGAAGAGAAAAGTGAATTGTACTATTTTTTAGAAGAGAAAGCTTTTTTTTCTAATCAAAATTAAGCTAAAATGAAGGTAAAGGCAATTTTTCGAAAGTGAAACACACGTCTTCAAGCTGAATCGGTTTCGCAGGGGATCCAGTAATTCGTGAGAAGTGTTTGGCTGTGGCCGAGAGCACTGATGACCCGAACAAGGTTGGCACGAAGCCCTCGAATGGCGCGTCAGCAGGCTCCACCGTACCAACATTTGGCCAACCGTCCTAATCTCATCAAGCATCGAGGTTTACCGGATGCGCACATGAGTTCCCGCACAGATTTCTTGCGATATTTCTAATTCAATCAGAGCGAAGCTTGTCTTTTCAGAATGGTCCAATGACTGCAGATCGGAATTTTCGGGAATTTTCAAGATAATACTCACTGATACTATAGGTACCACAAAAAAAAATCCTGAAAGTTCCATCCTGCACAACCCCTTACTTTTTTTTTTTAAGTAAGGGTTCGAAATGACCAATTTCAATAAATTTTGAGGCCTTTCTGCCACTTTGTGTCATTTTTGAAAAAACCAAAAGGTTGTACCGGTTAAAGTTTTCTCGATTTGTTCCTGGCACGTCAATGTTTTACCGCCAATTTAAAGAAAGATATCAACCGCAGAGTAAAAGGACCTTCCTTGTAAGCAATATTGATGGAAATTGTTCAAAAGCTGTTCATCGTTGGTTTGAAAAGTTATTAAAAAAACCTACTGAAATAATTTGAACTGTCAGAATTGATTTTCAAAGAGTTAATTTCTTCTGGTAATGAAATTTAGTTCTGCATCAATGAAATCTGAGAAAAATTTTGAAATATGACTTTCCTAAAAATTAAAAGTTTTTTTTTTTTGAAATCGTGAAGCGTCTTTTAAATCTCTCAAACCAACTTCTATTGTTAGATGAACTTTGACCTTTGCATTTGCAAGTAGAAACATTTAGTTTTGAGGGTTTTTTTGCCGGACGAAAACGGGCGGAAATCTTAGACCGACGCCCCAAGAAGCGTCAATCGTATTAGTCGAGATCGATGTAAACCACGTTTAGCCACTAAGCTTCTACTCAAAACGGCGAATGGCGACAATTACATTAGGCGACGACTCCCTGCTTTGCATAGCGTTTACCGCGTTTGTAAGTTTGTCCCAGAGGGCCATCAAAATTCAATTTATTAATTGAAGGCCTGGAGGTCATAACTTAATCAGCCAATTATTCGCGAGAAATATGATTTTGGGAAGCGGGAGGCACTTTTCCTTGTCCAGATTTAGTGATGGAAGAACCTTTTCTGAAAAATTAACTCATTCGAAAAATATTTATGAGCGAGAAAGAAATAAAGAACACGCAGATCTGCTTAGAATAGTGAAACAAAATCTACAAATCTCTTTACTATCTCAAGAAATAAGGAAGAAAACTCACTGAAGCCTAGGCCCATTACTTTTCAGAAAAGATAGCTTGAAACAAAAAAAAAACGAAAAGGACCATTTCCTTTTTGCCGATCATACTTTTTTGTATCACTACGAAGACTCTTTGAGGTGAATTTCCATTTACACAACGGACCTTTTTTTCTGACTCTCGGTTGAATTTTTTTGATGGAACTTCGCTGAAATATTTTTTTCAAATCCACTTTATGCCAGAATAGGAAAAAAATTTTTTTCAATATATTTTGATCGCAAATATTCAGCCTCCGAAATACAATAAAAAAACACAAGTAACGGAAAAAAATATTATTTAAGAGATTTGAAGCTTCACTAAACATAAAAAAATCCACAGCTGAAAGTTTTTTTCCTTGTTTTGGAATCTGGAGGGCCTGACGTACATTTCAGCAAAGTTTTTTTCTTGAAAGTTCAACCGGCGGCCAAAAAAACGTTCCCTTGTCAAAAATTCAGTATTTGTAAATGTATGGGCGCTGGCAGTCGGTCCCGCAGGCGTCAATCTTTTTTTCATCTTTTTTTTTTATAAAAAGTTAGAGTTTTTTACGGTTTTTACGGAATCATTACGGTTTATTTTTTTTCAAGTCAGTACGTAATGTTTAACTAATCATTAAAAATGATAGATTCCGTATTAAGATATTTTTATAGCCTGTGTACCAGGACTTGAAATTTCACCGAACGACATTCCGCTTTTCCGCTGCGCGCCTTTGCGAACCTGGGTCGCGCTTTTAATTTTTTTTTCTTTCATTAAGGTACTCTACTTTCATGTGCTTCCACAGCAATTAAAGTAAATTGAAAGTGTGACCTAGATTCAAAAAAAGCCTCGCGAACGCACGCAGCGGGACAGCGGAATGTCGTTCCGTGAAATTTCAAGTCGTGGCACACAGATTATATGTACAGCTCATGTTCAAATTTTTCAAAGCTCGGGTCAATATTAAGAAAGTTATTTGAATCTCTAAATCAGCAAAATTTTCAAATAAATTGATTAAGGAAGATATTATTGAAAACCGGGAGTTTTACTTTGACTGTAGTTTTTCTCAGATTCTCCGCATTTTTTAAAAAACCTCAAAGTTTTTTTTGGGTTTGAAAATGAAACCAAAGAATCGATAGGAACGTCTATGACCATCAAAAAGCTTGTGAAATCAACGACAGAATTTCATATCACAAAATGGGAGAAGACCAAATGTAACTAAGGACACAGTTTTTTGGGTGGTCAGGCACACAATTGCTTTGTTTCTGTAACTGCTTTGTCTCAAAAAGTATCAAACGTGATCTATTAGAAAAAATCTTACTCTTTACCTTTCTCATCAATAATATCAATCGATACCTTTCTTTCTTTCTCCTTCTCATCGATACCCTTTTTTTTCTTTTTCAGGGGTTCATTCCCCAAATTTTTGTGATAAGCAACATTTTCTGTTTGTTGAAGATTATTCAGTCTCTTTTAATTGTTTTGAAGCAATTTATTTTCAGGAAACGAAGGTTTTTTTGGTTTTTTTTTTGGTGTTTTAACTTAGAAAGAATCCTCTCAAGTGAAGGTTTGAGATTTGAAAAAAAGCTGTAATTATCAGGAACAAGCATTAGGGAGACGAATTTGTTTTTATTTCTCGATTTGGCAGAAAATTGCAACGTTTGACAGAACCAATGTATAAATAATTTTCTTTTTAGGTTTTTTTGTTTTTTTGTTTTCCCATCGGAGTTTATGGACTGTTCTTTGTACAATAAACGATGACCTTCTGACGTCTTGATTGGCTAATTTATTGGCTGCAAAAAGTTATTTTTCACAGAGTGCCTAAATACTTCCCTTGAAACTTTTCGTACACTCTTCAAGTTATCAATGCTGACCCACTAAGAAAAACTAACGAAAAAAATTTTTTTTGTTTTAACGAACCATTTAATTGCAATGATATTAAGCCCACAGTTGAACTTCTAATGAAACTTTTCTGAGAAACTTTTCAGATCCTTCTGATTCCAGAACAAAAAAGAATCTGAGTTTCGAGTTTTGACGCTTCAAAAACTTGTAAAAAGCGCTTTTTTTTTCATAATTTTCGCATTTTGCAAAAATTTAAGTTTCCTCAATCGCAAACCAGATTTTTTTCTCTTGTTCTGAAAGGAAAAGATAGTGACGGGATCTTTAGAAAAGTTTCATTTAAATATTCAACTATGGGCTAAAAAAATATTTCCTTGACGGTTTTTTTTGTAAGTGTTGCTTTTACCGTTTATTTTTTCAAATGAATGAGATCTGATTTGTCATGAGGAAAACTACACTGAAACTCGGACCTTCGCAACACTTGTTTCTCAGTGTAATCAGAAAAAAACTTTCAGAGCGGCCAATGGCTGTAATACTTGTCCTTCCAACAGGCTCTCACGAGAAAAATCATCCCATGTATTTTTTTTTTCCTCCTTTTGAACTTTTCCCTTTGACCCATTTTTTAGATACGCAAGCTTTTCGCCCACGTTCTGACAACTGTCCGGCTTGTTCTTTGCGTTTTCAAAGTGCGGCAGTGGAAATTCGCTTGCAGAATGGATATGTTTCGAGTTTCCGATTACAAGTTCCTCTTCTACGTAGAAATTCGCTGCAACAAAGTACAATGACCAACTTCAATTTTTCCGGAAAAATAAATTAGGGAAACCGGGTTGAGAAGGATTTTAAACCTTCTTATCTCATTCAAAAATTCTCCCAGGAAAAATCGAGACCAGTTGTTTTGAAGTTTTTTTATGATTTTCTTTTTGTTCATGCAAATGAAAAAAAGGCTAAAAAAATGCTTTTTTTAGAAAAAAATCCGGATTATAAAAAAAGTTGATCTCTGATGGTTTTGATTTTTCAAGACTCTGCAAGACGGTTTATTTGAAGTTTCAATAATTTTTTTGGAGGATTGGTTACCTAAATTTTTACTATAAAAGGATTGTTACTACGTTTTTTTAATTCTTCCGAACTCAGGATTGACTGAAATTATGAGTATCCTCCATTTCCATTTTATTAAATGAAATAAAACTCAAATTTACTTTGAAAGTTCAAATCAAACTCTTCTCTTTTTGCCGACCGAATGAAACATCTGCAATCGGCAATGTGTTTTTTTAATTCTGTTGGGTTTTTTTGTTTGCCGTGCCTCGCCGATTCACTTCCTGAAGGCGCGGTTTTTTTGATTTGTCTCAATTTTAAAGCCGCCGAAGGATTTATAGCACAAATGTGACCTTCATTATTTCGTTTATGGAGAGACTTTTTTTCCAAAAAAACTTAAAATTAGATTTTTAAAAAAAAGGTGTCATGGTCGTATAATTACTTCCTTCGTTCAAAAATAATGACATGCTGCCAAAAAAATTGCGAGCAAATGTGGATGAAGTTCAAAAAAAGAATCTGTTTGATTGAAAGAATTTAGTTTAGGTTAACGTACTCGTTTTTCTTTATTTTCGACATGAGCAAATTGTTATGACCTTATTTTTTTAATGAAAAATTATTGAGATTTTTTTAACGTTTATAGGACCCTTCTTTGGTCTAGTGACGTCGTTGAGCTTCTCTGAAATTTTAATTAGCTAAAAAAATAAATTCAGGTGAAAAAAATGTGAGAGAAGCTGTTCTGAAGGCTTTATTTCCGGTGGATGCTTTCGCTAATGGCGCAGTTCTTTTAATCACAACCTGCAAGCTCACGACCTGAGCCGTTTCTCTGCCGCTCGTCCAGTGAGAACAAACGAACACGTGAAGCGCAGCCTGAGTTTCCGACTTTTTTTTTGGTACGCCGCTGAAGGGCTTCCCCTCAGGTAACTAGACCTGTGACGCAATTGCTCGTTGCCGTGAGAATGGTCCACTTTTTGGATTTCGTTTTTTGTCGACTTCAAAATTTTAAGTGGGATTTCGTTTGCAGTGCTTCAGCTTCTCCTAGCAATTTGTTCCGCCTTTACTTTTCTCAAGCCATTTTCTTGGTCGCTATGGACGAGAATATGAGACGCACTTAAAGTTCTCATAAAAAGTTTTCTCGCCACGGAACACTTCCAAAGCAGAGACCAGTTCGAAAGCGTGGGGTTAAAGATTAACACGAAAATAGCACTTACTATACCAATTTCTTCTCAGCTAAACTACATAGAAACTCATTGAAGTACTAATCACTAGACTGGAAAGAGCTGAAGATTATGTTATCGGATTTATGTCTCAACTTCCTTAACCACAGTAGTTCAACGGGTATTTTTTTCAGGGTAACTCAATTTTCAAGTTTAGGGAAGAAAATTGCATTCGTGTGTCGTATTGGACTAGGTTGAATTCAACGTCATTTGGCCCGCGATTTCGTTCCATTATGTCCAATTCATAAAAAATCCCGAGCTTTTCAGAGCTCAGGTTTCTTTTTGATCTTTTCTATCCGTATTCCCCAGAGCCAGACGTCTGACGGAGTCATTTTTTCTCAGTATGCCTTCTCGTAGAGCTCCATTTCACTCGAGGTTTTTTTTGTCACACTATCACTCGTTTAACTGTTTGCTTTGCTATTCCGAAACCGTGCTTACATTGAAATGGAGAAGACGCTGAGGTTGGAAGTGACGCGAGAGAGGAAAAGTCAAGTTCAAACAAGCAGCTCTGTTTTCAATGGGTCCGAACAACCGTGGGCTCATGTTAGCACGATTGTAGACCGATCTGTGCGAAGATGATATCACTGTTCTCAGGTTCTTTCGCGTCATTTTTTTTTAGAGATAAATTCTCACCTGAGGATCTCGCTTAATCTTTTCATACTCTTTTTGAAAAGCTAAAATCTCAACTCATCATCAAAAATCTTTGTTTTGCTTTTCGGAAAGAAGATCAAATCTCAGGAGTTTATGTATTTAGTAGAGAACTTTCGGTACTCTCAAGACTTAGGCATCAATGCCGACTTGCAACAACACTCATTGGAAATCGACTTGCCTTGTCCACAGCCAACTATCGCGCTTTCCTGTTTCACAAGCCGCGTAGCGGAGGCTAACCATTATATAGCTCTCGCGTCTTTTTTAGCTTCTCCTTTTCTCATTTTTTATGCCAGACGCATTATTATCATTACCTCTGTTTTCTTTCTTCGGCGCATTCGCTCATTCGTGCTGACTAGACACTCGTCAACAAGATTTTCTCGTTTTTAACAGTCTGTGTGGCATATTTGGGTGAAGACCTAGACAAACAAGAGGCCAACTCTTTTGCCTGCGCCTGTTGGCGTTTACGTTTTTAAAACTTATAAATTACACATACTATTTACAACCATTTACAATCGAACGGATGGAATAAACCAATCTAAAAAAACATTAAATTTACAAAAAAATCACTTTGTAGAGATATTTATTCACAGCAGTCATATTAAAGTTCAAAAAAATGTTATTCGAGAGGTTCCGATCTTCAGTTTTCAAACACTCAGTTTTTGAGAAAGCTTTAAGCCTTTTTCCTTAAATATTATTTTTATTCGATCCTAATTCAACATATAAAAAATTTCCGCTGGTTATTGGAATTTTTCCTCTTTCAGAACCTTGGGGTTTTGAAATTCGTGATCAGAAACTTGATGAAATTTTCCGTCTACTTTTTTTTCATCTAGTCGTTAAAATCCAGATGTCATTGTTTTTGTCGAAGTGTGACTCCCGCGGTAGTTTATTCATTCGTCTCACTTGTCTTGGATTTTTTTTTAACCTGAACCGGCATGCCGGAAAAGCGATAAGGACGGAAAGGCAGAGATATTGACGTTTTGAGAGCTGCCGATCAGTTGGAAAGCGGAAGAGATCGGAGGAAAAGCGCCATGGGCGAAGCTCCGCCTCTTCTTGTTGGTCTCCCGCTCGAAATTCGCGGTGTTCACACCGGCTGCCAGCCACGGCGCCTCTTCAGTCTCTTTAATTCGTTCAAGTTTTTGGTGGAACCTACCTCACTGGATGGTTCACTTGGATTTTGTCCTTTTTTTTCACTAATAGTATGTTTTCCAAAATTTCTAAATCCAAAAGGTTTATTTGCTTATTATTTTTCGTTGGAACGTCGTTGAGAGTGATCATTTTCAAACCTAGCATTATCTTGCTTTCTCAAGTTGTTTCAGCAAAACTTTTTTTTGAAAGCCGAAGACGTGGGATGTTTTATCTTGAAAGTATCAAAAATTCCTTTTCGACTCATCACATGTATTTCTAATTCGCACGATTATGTATGGATTCATAACAAAAATGTTTTGTTTTTGACTCTTTCCATAAGTCTTCAAAATAATAAAACATTTTCAAAAATCAACGGAAGAAGACATAAAAACTCTATTTTAGGCTTCTTTCCAATAAACATTTCGAAGTCTGATTACCGTAGATTTCTTCCAGTCAAGTGCCATAATAGCCGAATAGCCCTCATCCGAAAAAGATTTTCTGGACCCGTTTTTTGTTCTTACTTCCTATTACCAGTATTCTGACTCGGCCCATCAATCAAGCAATAGACGAGCCCACGTTCCATGCCCATATCTCCTTCATCCTCACATGTCCACGCTCCTAACCGCTCTATTCCCATGGTTCTGCTTTTCTGCCGGTTTGAATCGAGTTTGAGACAATTGTACAGATTCAAAATGTTTTTTTGCAGCCGAAGGGACCGCGATGTCGTCGTCGACTTCAGCCTGCTCGGGAGAAGAGGAAGATTGTTCCAACGAATGTTCGGCGTCGTTCACTTTTGACACAAACAACAATAATCGCCGCGATGAAGTTCGTTTCTTTTCAATTATTATATGCAGCTTAAAAAGCGAATGCATAAAAATCGGAATTTCAGGAGCTGGCTGAGGAAGCTCACCTAAAGTTGAGCATCACGCCAACTTATGACAAATTTTCTCTGGAACAACTCACTCGCCTTGTCACTATTGGTAAGTTTTGTTAATGAAAAAAATGGAAAAAAAAATGAAAGAATTGATTCTTGAGCCTTTGCCAGAAGGTTTCCAATACATACGAGGCGCCAACCAAACTAATCACAAACCCCAGAAATTGTTCCGGCCAATCTCCTTTCCCTATTCAGGAAACTTGATTTATTCTCACAAAGAGTTCTTCCTCGTTGAAGAGGATTTCTCCTCATTCTTTACTTTGAAAACCCTTCAAGAAAAGAGACGTCAAAAAGGAAAACTGATTCGTTCACATATTAAATTTAAGAAGGGGGTAATAAAAATGGTCAAAAGATATTGCCTTTCATCGGAACAGGAGGAATATTGACGTCATCAAAGGATTGGATGTGGTATCCGCGCAGTGTTTACCGTTCAGTTTGACGCACAACAAACCCAAGATGCGCGAGGTCAACTTTTTTCTGAGTGAAGCTTGCGCCCGGCGCAGGCTTTTATCTGCAAAGTCCCTTGCTTGAGGAATTATCCGAATGGAAATATTCGAGGAAAATGTGAATCATTATTTTTCGTTTGACACGCAACGGCTACAAAACATTTCGGTTGTTTTTGAGAATTCTTCAGAGCAAGGAAGTAGCTTGAAACCAAACGGCGACTTTTTTGTTCCTGGGGAGAAAAATTGGTCGTTCGTATTATTGCACTTTCAAAGTCTTGAAAAATTGCAGCTTGACATTTTCTGAACTTCCAAGTGACCTAGCATTTTCAAAACTTTTTTGAAAAGATCATCAGGATATGAAGAACGGGAGCCCATTGAATTGACACCAAAAGACGACACGTTTGTGTTTTTCTGGGTTTTCAATTAACTTTTTATTCTCTCTCTCTCTTTCAATTGAACGAAATAAGCTCAGATTTTCCACCCGCAGTAATGATGGTTCGTACTGCGCGGCGCTAAAAAGATGCGCTGACACTTGAATTCTCGTTCTTTCCACGTTCATTCTTTTTCCTTGCTACCGCATTTCTTCCAAAAAGAAGAAGATGGGAAATGTACGAATTGTTATTGACTGTGAGACGTTTTCTGTGTTTGTTCTGACTATTATAAGACTACGATTATGCAAACCTTACGGACCAAAAAAGACATTTGCTGAGACGCAAAATAGCTTTCAATCTTTTTGCGGCAGAGACATATCGAATACCACAAAAAATTATGATTTTGAAAATGATTGGATTGGAATTTGTAGTTCGAGTTTCTTTTGAAATTCCAGATTTTCTGAAGTCTTGAAATGACTTTTTTTGTATTCTATACGACAGTGGCAGGCCTTCCATAGGGAAAGTAAAATGGCAAACTTTTTCCCGGAAGTTTTCAAATAGCGACACATTAGTCGTCGCAGTTTCCAATTTTGGTGCCTCTATTCTTTTGCTCAGCGGCTCGTTTTTCCACTCGGACTGCGCCAACAAGGTGTACTACGGAATTCGCTCTTCCAAAGAGATTTCGAGCCCTCGGAGCCCATTTCCCGTGGGAACGTCGGCGCCTCCCAAAAATGTCGAGTGTGACGCCTCCAAAAAAAACCTGCATTACGTTTTGCATGGGCCCGTCGCGCAAAAAGATCTATCAAATTCGAATATTCAAAGCCACTTCTTCGTAGAACGCTGTTTTTGCCTCTTTCGTGTTTAGAGAAGAGACCATATCCAATTTTCTGGAAATACAAAAAAAGACGTTGTGCAATAAAATTCTGCTAATCTGAAAAACTCAATAGCAAAAGTTTCGATTGAAAAAAAAACAGCAAAATTATTGCACATTATTTGACTTTCGAAAAAAAGCAAAGAAATAATTTTTCCTTATTATGAAGATTTTTTTCAAAAGGTATATAAAGCCTTAATCATAAAAAAATTACCAGTGAATGGATCGCTAATCAAACTTAATTTTCATGTTTCATCCAATTGAATCTAACTTGAATTTGAAAAAAATTTGCATATTTGAAAGACCGCACCTGAACTCTTTGTTTACACATAAGTTTTAGGTAAAGGAACGTTTGGTAGAGTGGAACTGGCGCGCGACAAAATCAACGGTGCTCACTATGCGCTGAAAGTGCTGAATATCAAGCGAGTGGTCGACACTCGGCAAGTGGATCATGTGCACAGCGAGAAAAAAGTTCTTCTCAAACTCAAGCATCCGTTCATTGTCAGATTGTAAGAATGCCTTACGGAGTCCTCCAGAATGATCCATTCCTTCTAGGTATGCCTGCGAAAAAGACAACAAATGTCTCTACATGATCATGGAATACGTCCCTGGCGGAGAAATGTTCTCTTACCTTCGTGCCTCAAGGTTTTATTGAACTAGAAGAAACTCTTTCTTATCTGATTTCAGAACTTTCACAAACTCGATGGCGCGTTTCTACGCAGCAGAAATAGCACTAGCTCTTGAGTATATTCATTCGCAAGGAATAGTGAGTTCTTGGAACTTTTCGAGCCCATAGTGATTTTCTACAAAGTTTAGGTTTACCGAGATTTGAAACCCGAAAACTTGATGCTGAGCAAAGATGGTCACGTGAAGATGGCCGATTTTGGATTTGCAAAGGAGCTTCGGGACAGGTTTGTGTTGCTTTTGACGCATGCGCGATCCATCTCAAACGTCGGTTCTCAAGTGCGTTTTGAATACAAAGTGATGAAGAACAGACACCTTCTTTGAAATGTACGAATTGAACCTCGAGGAATTATTGAAAAACTTTCTACGAAACATGTCAGCCAATCGGGTGGCCCATTCTATTTTGAGTGGCCGTTCCATTCTCAAGAATACCTACAAAATAAATACTTTAAGCAATTTTTGTTCAGCGTGTTGTTTTTGAATGAAAAAGTTTTGAGTAAACTGCAAATTTGTATAAATTGCAATAGAAAAGTATATTACTTACATGATTACTCACAAAAACTACGTTTTGATAAATTTCGAAACTTTTTGTGTTTTCTTGTTTTTCTTTGACCAGCTGCTCGTATTTTGAGCTGCTACGGTTTCAAGCTTTTCACAAAACATGAAAAAGTGTACAACGTAAAACGCGTGAATGAAAGAGCGTCAGTTGTAATGAGCGACTAGGTTTCTGATGGCCCGACTATACTATGCGAATGATTCAAACTATCGGCGGGCGGATTACGTCATTCGACCACTTAGATCAGCTCTCAAAGAGTTTGGGGGTTGGTCATTTGAACGCAATTGTTTGATATAACAGTTGCTCTTGCTGAGCGGAAATCAATGCGTTCTAAGAATAACTTCCTTTTTTATTCTCAGAAACTGAAGCTTGAAACTTCGGGCGTTTTTCACGTTAAATGAAAGTGATGCCAACAATTGGATAATTGAATGTTAAAAAATGTGATAGCGTCATAAAAAAGAATTTAAATGAAACTCAAGCTCAAAGAAGTGAAATGACATCAAAGGTTCCATTTATTTTTCTCTTTTTTTTCTGACTTGAACAACTTATTAAAAAACAGGACGTTATGGCCACCCATTTAATTGCTCAAGAAGCCTTTATAATCGAGCAAAGAATGATTTTCCGAGGCAAGAAATTTATCTCAAAAATGCATGGATAGGCTGGGCAATCATTGGAGATATCTTTTTCCGAAAAAAAGCAGACTGAACAATTGCTTTGTTCCTATATCTCCTAGAACACGTTTCAGTAATCCTTACGCAATTTTACACAACTTTTGAAGTCAATAAAATCATCATTTCGAAGCTCATGTTAACGAGCAAGTTTGCAGGACATACACGATTTGTGGAACGCCGGACTACCTGGCACCAGAATCGCTGTCGAGCAAGGGACACAACAAGGGCGTTGATTGGTGAGTTTCAACAACTCTCTCAAAGGGAAATTTTTGAATTAAACTTTTTCCCCCCTTTTTTTAAATTTATGATAGATTTTATGACTTTTTAAAAATAAAGTTTGAGTCTTTAAAACAAAAAAATGAATTTTTTTCAGGTGGGCTCTTGGAATTCTCATCTACGAAATGATGGTCGGTAAACCGCCATTCCGTGGGAAAAATACTGCCGAAATCTACGACGCCATCTTGGAGCACAAACTCAAATTTCCACGCAGTTTCAATCTGGCTGCAAAGTGAGCTTTTCATTTTGCGTAACTTTCAGTATTTTTTTCATTTTCAGAGATTTGGTGAAGAAATTATTGGAGGTTGACCGAACTCAACGTCTGGGATGCATGAAAAACGGTGCGCAAGACGTCAAGGAGCACAAATGGTTTGAAAAAGTCAACTGGGAGGATCTGCTGGCTCTCCGTGTAGAGGTCAGTTTGTTACTTTGTTGTTCTAATCTTGTAAAATGTCCACATTTCAGCCTCCAATCATTCCAACTTTGTATCATCCTGGAGACACTGGAAACTTTGACGAGTACGAGGAAGACAATGGTATGGGTCCTGTGTGTGGACAGCGTGAACGCGATCTCTTTGCTGAATGGTGAACAGTATTCGGTGCAATTCGTTGAACTAGTTTTTATTTTGACGCATCTTACGAGGTTTCCCGAACCCCGTAGTTTGAAAACACTGTGATTGAAATATGTACTCTACTCATCACAATATAGGCTTTTCAAGAAACTGAATATTTTTCCTCACCATTGCTAGCTTTTTCCAATGTTTAGCAAGTGCTAACATTCCCTTAGCATCTCGAGTATTGAATCTTGTCATCGGAGTTTGTGAATGCTTTTCCGCCGCTATCTAGTACTATCATCCCGCTGTAATCATGTGTATTTTTATTGTAGATAATATCCCTCGGTTGTTTATTTTTCTCTTATTCCAAGAAAATGTGCATAGTAATTATTCAAACTGTTACAATCTCTGCCAGTTGTGACGATTGCTAATAAACGAGTTCCAAATGATCTTTTTTCGTTTCCGGTGGAGTTTTGTTGAGTTGGAGAAGAAGAAGAAGTTGTACCCACACCAACCAGCTGCCGGATAGCAGTTGGCCCAGAGCTCTTACTCAATAACGCTCCAGTGCCTAATTATTTATTTCAACATTACACCTTTGGATAAACAGAAGCCAAAGTTTCTGATGTAATGCGAAGAGAACGAAAATCAACCTAACTCTAATGGCTTGAACATTGAACCCGTGAAAATTGTTCAAAAGCAACTTGATGCTCCTTTATTCACATAAAAACATGGATAGAGAACTTCAAAACCTCTCACTGGTTAGTTAGGCAGCTACCGAAAAACATGAAAATCTGGGGAGGAACAACCTAAATTGGGAAAAAATTCATACGTGAAAAAATCACATAATGGTTTGTGCATACAAAACAGATGTTGAAACACATTCATATAACTTTCTTTTTTTTTCCTTCAATTGATTCGTGATATTTCGAAGGTCTCCAACAATCTTAATCGGGAAAGTTCAAATAAAAGGCTGAAAAAAATTATTGTCGATACACGCATAATACATTTTTTTAACTTATGAAGTTCTCAAGAAATCACTAAAGCAATTTTTGATAAGTTTATCAAACCAGCAAAATTTGTCTCCTGCAACGAATTTCAAAACTTCATTACATTAAAAGAATTTCGGGAAATAAGCGCAGCAAAGCAAAAAACTGTGAAAGTTCCAATACTCAAGGAATTTGCCAGTTTTGCTCTTTTTCAAATTATTCGAAAACTCTGTAATGCACAAGATATCAACATTTCCTTAGGTTCTGATAGTTCAGAGCAAAGTTATAGCAACAAAATAAACCAACATATCTTTATAACCAGTCTTGTATCTTCAGCCTAAACTCAAAATAGATACTAACAAACGTAGTAAATAATTAATGCCAGCAATGGGCACGAAGATCAAACTTATTGTACTCTAAAAGTTGTAAAAATCTGAAAAAGGGCGCTTTGTAGATAAGAGACGCGAAATATCACCCTACCAGTTTTCTTCGTGTTTTTTTTTATTACGTTCAGGTAACATCTATCAAATTCATCTCACCCATCGCCTCCTTTTTTAGATGTTTCAATGTCTTGACGCTCTATCTGCAAACGCATGCGTCTTTTCGCTACGCTCAGAAACAGGAAAAGATGGAAAACAGCTAGTTAAATTGAGAAGAAAGAATTGACCTAAGGGACTTAATTTCGAGTAGAATTCTTAATGCTTGCGTAATAATTTTTCAAGAGATCCAAACTCTCAAAGTATACGGAAAACTTAAATTCGAATGTGCTCATTTTTGAAAAAAAAACGAGCAATGTAAGGTGACACTTTCAAAAACTTTCTTAATAAGGACATTAAGCAGTATTTCAAAAGTTTTTGAAACTCTTCCTTTTTTCAGCAGAAAAAAATCTTATTTTTGTTACCATAAAAAGGAGTGTCCGAAAATCACCTATACCTGTCGGCAAATTACTTTTTTGATCTCCTATCTTGAAAATATCGTAGTCACTGTCTGGAATTCTGTCGCACTCGTGTCCATAAGAATCAGCAGTTCAGTTTTCTTTTCCCGCTCTCCCCATTGTCTCAACAACTTAAAAAAATATCGACAAACTGTGACCGGTCTTCGTTCAGAAGCAAACGGTTGCGACAGCGCTGAATTCAAATTGAGAAAAAATTCTTCAATACGTGAATTCTTTAAAATTAAATCTTTTTTTTCCAAAAATAATTGTTTCGGTTTTGTTGTTTTTTTACACTTTTAATCGTTTCGATACGTAGAAACCGTTTGCAGTGTAACAAGCTGGCCGTTCTTTTCGTAACGTACAGGTCTCTTCGTTCCATTTCATAAAGTTCTCACGCTTTTGATTGAATATTGAACATTTGGATGCCGTAGATTCTTACATTTTTTGTACGTGGCAGCATCTTGACGTTGCTCGCCTTTTTCTTTTTCCAAAGTCGTTTTTTTTTTCAAAAATTTGCAATTTTTAACCTTAAATTTCTCTGTATTGCTCATACATTTTTCGTTTGCTTTCAAACTTATTTTTGGTGAAAAAAATCGAGAAAAGTTGAAGAATAAAAAGTCCTCGATTTCACGATTCATCGTATATAAGATTTCCAAGCGATCCATCCAAACACTCAATTTTTATCAACGAGCAATCGATAATACTTGAAAGCTTTTTCGCGTCAGAAAAACGATTCCCGTGAGTCACGCATGTCCTATCCCAGCTGCAGATTTATGTGAAATTTAATTTCTCTGTTATTTTCTCGCATCTGCCATTTTTCTTCTGGAACAGACTTTCTACACCTTCTAGGCTTCACTGAGAAAACCCTTTTTCTTTTTCCAACCATGAGTGAGATTTAGAAGACAATTTTTTTTGTCAGTTTATCAGATTTCATTGAATGAATGGAAAGTTTTTGGCTTAAAATTTCGTTATTTTAAAAGGTTTTTCATAATTTTATCTCAAAAAAAGGTATTTATTTAGACTGAAATGTCGCAATTTCGTCCGGCGGACAAGAAGTTTTTGAGTGAGAAAATGTGAGTCAAAAAAATGAAAAATGAACATTTTTTCGTGTTTCAGAGTCGAAATACATAAAGTAACCTTGGAAGTGCTGTCGGTCTCGGATTTGTTCAGGTTCAGTGAGTACGAAATGAATGAGATTCTGGAATCTCAAGAATCTCTGGTAGGAATTTTAAATTCTTTCAGCAATCGAAATTCGCAAGAGCAGCATCAAAAAATTTCTGACCAGTTGAGTTCAAAAACTTGGATTGAAACTTCTTCCAACAATAAACGCTATTTTTCTAATGCAAGTTTTCAAGCGCTTAAAAAGACTTTTCGAAATAAAAAAAGTAGCAGTGTAATACTATTTCAAGACTACAACGCTCAAAAGATAAAACTTTGAAAACGGGAAAATCGGAGTTAGAATTTCGAAAAAAAAGAAGTTTTGAGGCTAGAACTTCACCTTCAAAACTTAACTTAATCGCATAAAATGTTTTAGTCGAATGAATGTTCTTCAGACAAATTTGAAAAAGTTTGATGGAAGCTTTATAAGGTTTCCTCCTCTTTTAGTTCAAGCCCTCGTCATCAACCACTTTTCAGCTTGAGTTCCTGACGACGCCATTCATCGATCAGGTTGATGCCGAGCTCGGAATCAAGAAAAGAAACCCGGATCCACTGTACTACAGACGCTCGGCTACCTGCGAAGGCGGCGCTCGGATAGTTGAGAAACGTCAATTTCGGCTTCAGTGAGCAATACCTTTGGTCCGATATTTTCTTCCTATCTCTTTTCAGTAAGGCGGTTGAACGGATGATGGACGCTTTGAAAAAAGCTCAGGTGTGGAAACCTTGCAAGAAAAAACTTCAAAGCTAGATTTTCAGAACAAGAGCTCGCCGTCGACGGTCGCTGGTCAATCTGTCGAGGAGCTCAGGTTATTCCCAAGACAACTTTTCTCGCAATGAAACTGATTTCAAGCACTGAGTTGCAAGCTTGTGGCATCGACAAGAAGAATTCGGACGCTGAGGCCGACGAAAAAAGAGCGGATGGAAAAGGCGCGATCAATAAAGGTTTCAAATTTCTTTTCTACGCAAACACTGAAATTTCAAGTTATAGAAAAAAATGGTAAATGTTTTGAAAATTTTTAATCTCAGCGTCTTTTCTTTTCTCAAAAAAAGATGCATAGTTCAAAAAGCTTTTTCCAGAGGAAGATGCATCGGAAGATCGTCCGGGACCTTCCAAATAAATTAACGATGAGAAAAAGCGTTTTTATTGGCTAAGTTTTTTTTGTATCTACGGAACTATCTCATTTGCTCGGTTTTCTGTGGAACATGTTCAATACTCTCTGTTTTTTTAGATTTTTGACAAAGTTCATTTTTGGGGAATTGCGAATAAATTTTTTTATGTGGTGTTTAAGGGGTGAATTATTTTAGCTAAAAATAATTTTTTTATTGACAACATAACTGAAAAATGAACCTCAAAGTACGCATGATGGAGAATAAATATATTTCACTGCAAATAAGTACTTTCGAATTCAACCGATTTTAGCTCTCTTTCTCTTCGAAGTTTTTAACTAACAAGTTAAACATCTTTTTGATCTAGCTCTGTTTTTCTTTGTGTGCTATCTGCGTTTTTATAACCCTTAGATGTAGGAAATGATCATTCTCAAGCTATCTCCAGTCATATATATTAGAATCGAACCAATTGATGAGAATGCACATGATAATTCGAAAACTACATGGAAGTTTATTTTACAATTGAACAAAATTAAAAATATTCAGAGATAAAATTATTTTCTGGTCGTATGTGCCATCCTTGCCCGCCGAAGCTTGCTCAATTACCGTAGAGGTCATCCCAGAGAAGATCGTATTGAGCGTATTGCTGAAACAAAGAACTTTGATGAAAATTCTTACCAAATGAGAATCTCTATAAAAAAAAGTTCCAAGAGAATAAGTGTGGAATCCGAAAAATACCTGATCATTTACATCTTCTTCTTCTTCTTCGAAATTGTCAAGGTAGTTGTTATTTTCATCTACTTGGTGATCATCATCTTCTAGTGCTTGATCGAGCGGCGCGAGAAGGACGTCTGGAGCCTCGATATTAGCGACATCGGTGCCAATCTTAAATTTGTTAATTTCGAATAAATCGTTTCCTCAGACATAGGGACTACGCATGCCAAGCGTACAAGGGCCTATCCGCATACAAAAAAAGTTTTACCAGCTTAATGAAATTAAGAAAAAATGGGGCGCGCCGTAGCGCAACAGGTTGTGTGCCTGCCTACGGTCCACAGGGTCACAAGTTCGATCCGCGCCCCGACCCAACCAAGGGGTTTAAGAAATGATGGTAGTGGGAAACCACAGCTTCATAATCACCAGCCGTCACACACAAGGGCGGATATGTCACTGGAGCCAGTCCACTGCTATCAGGATAGGACCTCGGCTAATCGACTTGGGGCGCCGACGCCGCTCAAGCGGTACAAAGGCGTAAGAAGAAGAAGAATGAAATTAAGAAAAAATACTCTTGATATCTCGATGAAAATTACTAACGAGTAATCAAAATGAATAAAAAGTAATGTCAAATTAATCAGAAAGTTTTCAAGGGTTGTCTTTATTGTAATCGAAAGGCTCCCAAACGATTTTGCATACCTTTGCCTGCCAATTATATAAAAATAAGAAATGTTCTCAAATTTTATCAAAAAAAGAAACCATTGAACAAGACTATGCAAAAACTAAGAAATTTGACAGATATCAAAGTTTTTTTTAGGTTCATCTCTTCTGAACATTGAAGAGTCTTTAGGGCCATTTGACAAATATTCTGACTTCAAAGATTTTATTAGAAAAAAAAACTTCGGATATGTTGAAAAAAGGTTTAAAGATGCACCTCGATTTCTTCTTGGTTGATGTTTCCCGAGTTTGCCATTGTAAATTTGAATTGGTCAGTAGCTTTCTATAAATTATAGTATAAAATTTCTGAAAATTTCCATGAAAAAAAGGAAAAAAAGAAAAAAAGACAGAAACAAAAATAAAGAGCGCCGAAGTCAACGATTATGAACTACTAATGCAACCAATTTGATTAGAAATAGATGCCGAAACTTCAAATTTAAGGGATAAATCTTGAAAAAAAAAAGATGAGAACAACTCAACGAAAAAAAAATAGAAAAAATGGTGTCATTCACAGTGAAAAAATGTGAGAAGTGAAGGTGCCAGGAACGCAAAACAATACCAGAAAGTATCACGACGTCGCCCATCAGCTCGACGCGACTTTTCGCGCCTAACAACAACCTCACGACCCGATTCGCGGGTTTTTTTCTATCTACCTTTTTTTATGTCATTTTAGACTTGTTTTATTCAGTAAACCAAACTGAATATTAATTTGAATTTTGCTTTTTGCATTTAGCAAAAATTTTATTGGCTCAACATTTTTTAATCTCTCCCCAAAAGTCCGCCTAGCTTTTGAATGCATATTTTCTTTTTTGTTCTGTTTTTCGACGTTTCTTATAAGATTTTTTTACAACCCTCCAAATGATTGTTATAGTCTGTGTGCCACGACTTAAAATTTCACCGAACGACATTCCGCTGTTCCGCTGCGTGTGTTAGCAAAGCGTCTTTCGAATCTAGGTCACGCTTTCGATTGGTTGTTATTGCTGTAGAAGTACAGGAAAGTAGAGTAACCTAATAAAAGAAAAAAAAAAACTAAAAGCACGACCAAGGTTCGCAAAGGCGCGCAGTGGCACAACGGAATGTCGTTCCGTGAAATTTCAAGCCGTGGCACACAGACTATATCATGAAAAATATTTTTTTGCAATTTGGTTCTGAAGTTTATTGATTGTTAATCCGCAAGTTCTGAAGGTGATTCCGATTGCGTGTAAAACTGTATATCTGTACGATGCGTTCTCTTAAATGTGAAAATTCTGATCTGTCAATAAATTATTATCATTGCAAGGAGATTTTTGATTCTTTCTGGAAAATGAAATATTAGAAAAAACGTCAGAAGTCGATGTTCAATTCTTCGTTTCCATAAATATTTATTGTTGTGAGCAGGATGCGTGGGAACAATTATGATCATCTCCTTCATTTGTTGGTCAAAATAATTCATTCACTAAACAATGTTGTCTTAACGCGACTGTACATAGTACATACTCAAAATAGAAAATATTTTCAGCTTTATTTTTGACTCATGTGTTCCACAAGGACACTCCCATCGTTCAAGAGAATTTCTGCCTTTCCTTGTTCTGGATAGAAGACGATTGTGCCTGAAAGCTTCATTTTTTTTTTCATCTGCTAACTTCGTCCCACTGTTTTCTGGCAGTTGTCTTTTTGGAGTTTTCAGATCGTCTGCGTCCCCCATACTGCGCAATGCGTTCATATAAACTGTCGTTTCGTTTCCTCCTCGTGTGGTCTGGAATTATAACGAAGCTTGATCAAAATAAACAGAAAATTACCCCTTTCTCAGTTTGATCATCGTCGCTGAAGCTCATCGAAGTAAAGCGGTTTTTGTACCAGATCGCCATTGCTTTGTACTTCATACAGCATGTGATTTCGCTACATTGGACGTATCTGTAGCTTTCAATTTCAGATAGAAATGCTTTTTGTGGCGTTTTCAGAGGACATTTTTTTGCACATCGAAACTATTGCAAACTCACTCAGTTACTTTCCAAGCACCTAATTTCTGATTGCGAAAAATGCAATTATTGGTTGAAAATTTTAATTTTCGACTTTATGTAGCAAACTTGAGAATTTATATACGTCACTGTACTGTGATGACCAAAATCAAATAAAAATTAACTGCGAAATTGTAGACTATATGAAAGAACAAATACTTTTTTGTTTCGAGAATCTATTTTTTTCCTCTTTAATTTCAAAATGCGAAATAATCAGTTACTTCTTTGGCAGACTAACTATTGATACCATCGGAATAAGTTTGTTTGTGTTTCTCACTTTTCCTTGATTCCAAACCCAATCGTGGCAATGTTATGGTTGTCTTATGAAAATTTAAAAACATGATGGAGGGAAAACATGTGGAGAAGGAGAAAAGAAAATGAGATTAACCCTGGTGGGCAGTGGCACGCGCCGGTAAATACACAAGGCGTCATGAGCGGAGGTGCATGGACGCATTCTTCCAGGCAGTAGGGCATACACACTGAGAATCGGACTTAATGAACGTGGGAAGACGGACTCAACCCACCAGATTGGCAGACTTTTGGCGGTGAAAACGACGCCATCTGAGAGTAGGCCGAGAGGCACTCCGTCGAGCAGTACGGCATGCACTCGTCGCGGCATTCCGTCTGCTTCGGTGGGGCCAGTCGCACCTCGAACCATTTTTCATACTTGCAGTACTATTCGCAGCTGGCTTGATGCAAAAGTTCCAAAAACCATTACGAATAGGTATAAACTAGATTAATGAAGCTCTCAGTGCTTTTCTTTTCTAGAGCCAGCGGTGAACCAGTGCATTCTTTTTCTTACTGCTGTTTCTCTGAGACCTTAAAAACAATGTTCATGATTCAAAACTCGCCAGTTCTCCCTAATTTCGTTGCTAAAGAAAAAATAATGACTTTATTCTACTCAATTTTTTTAGAGACTTGGAAGCCGCTTTTTGATTTTGGCTTGGAACTAGAAAATCAGAAAAAAAATTTTCTATTTATTCTTATGAAAAACTACAGAGATGAGCTTTCAGGGCATCAGTAAAATATAGGAAAACCATCAGTTTTATTTAAAACTTACTTCTGATTGCTCGTTGACAGGATGACCCATAACATCAATAGCTGTCAATGAATTCATGAAGGAAGCCACAATTTGGTTGTACCTCTGGAAAAGTTTCATCCATTGTAACCAGCAGATGATGAAAAATATTTCGCCCAGGTCGTAAATCAATTCCATACTTTTTTCTACTTGCTAAGCCCGCTTTTTTTTTTCAACTTTTTTTCGAAAAGTTCTATGATGATCCACTTTTTTTTTCATCTCAGCAGCCTACTTCCCAATAATTTTATTTTTTTTTTGCGGTTTCGTCAAAAAAAAAATGAATGATTTCTCCAAAGTTTTGAAAAGGCTGAAGAAATTCCGTCCATAGCTATTATTATCCATTTTTTCTTACTTTCCACTGTCTTATATCACGGACTCATTAGTAAAGATCACCTGGAGACACCTGGAATTGCAACCCGGCATGCAAGCCTTTGCACAGACTCTCTTAGACGGGGGAGCCATTGTCGGCGTCATCACAGGGTTCCTGCTGCTGACGACGCCATTTGTCCGCGACTGGCCCAAAGGCCTCACATATGAGCTCAGGGAGTACCTTTTAGCGGATCGTTGTGTAGGCGGACAGCTGAAGCGTTAGAAAATGAATGGATTTGAATATTTTTTTTTTCTGCGAACCATTTAAACGCACACCAGCCATCGGGTCCGCATCCCATAAGGTCACTAAAATACTCTCCAATCGCTTTCATACGGCTGTCGGCGTAATATCCATAGTTGCTTGGAGTGTCGTTCAGTTGTTTGTCAGATAACTGAAAAATTTGATTTTAAATTTCGAAGTATAAAAAAACAAAAACTATGATCAAGGAAAAAAATCAAGTTGATATTAGTATTCTCCTGATACGATATTCTTTTTAGAAATCAAAAAAATCAGTAATTTTTCTTATTCTTCAAATTCTTTTCTTATTTGATTCTTATTCTTGTTTACTTGATTTCATGCATAACTTAGCAATTAGAAATTCGAAAAATTCTGAGAAAAAGACAACTTCTCCATTGAAATCGGGCAATTAGATACTTCTTCCCTAATCTGAAATTTCCAAGAATTTCTGAAAAAATAAAAAGACTTATTTTCATGAAAACTATATTTTTTGCAAACCTCAAAGTAAGAACTTAGGTCTCAAACAACTTCAAAAAAATTCAATGAACGGAATACTCAGATATCATTCCAGCTTCAATCTGAATCTAAAGCACTTCAAAAACTTGCAGCAGATAGAATTGGAAGTACTCCGTAGGACAAAAGGCCGAGAGCGTGAAACATGTTGGAAGGACTGTGGACTCGAAGGATTTTTGGGCCGAGGAGGCGGCGAGATGACACCGTGTTGTCACTTCTGTCATACTGTTCAGATCACGACCCGAACTCAGCCGCGCTGTTTTTTCTTTTTTTTATGTCTGATTCAGTAGGGAAGATGATCTCGTAAAGGAAAACGAGTGGATTGAGTTAGAAAGAACAAAAAGTTTCCAAGGTCTTACGTTCAGTTCACTTACATGCCGTTGATGGTCAGAATTGGCCGCTTGAAAAAACACGAATCTTAGTTTTTATTATCCATTGGAAGCTTCTTAAGCTTCTGAAGGTACCACCTTTACTCGAAGACTCTATATTGGAATATTTTCATTTTTTTTTTTGTAATTAGAAACAACTTTTTTTATTTATTAATTGACAGGAGAGATGTATTCAAAGGCCACACTCAACAATCTTTTGATTTGCTTCGATTCCTCAGATGTAATGAAGAACTAACAATCTCTAATCAACTAGGAACTTTATGATCGATGATAACGATAAAATCTCAGAAATATTAAGATTTCTGAGAAAATACCCAAAATTTCAGATAAAGGTGCAGCAAATTGTTTTTCGCAACTTTTGAGACATCTAAATGAGAAGTTGCGAAGAAAAATGAATAGAGGCGGCCCTCGGGGGAACTGTCTGTCACTCAAAAGCTTTTCGTTCAGCCGTCCTTGCCTTTTTCGGTTCCTTGCTCAGTTATGATGATGAGTTTGCTGATTGTACTCGATATTTCGCCTTGAGCAACTCATATATTTTTATTGCTTTTTCTGCCGGGTTTCTTTTTTTTTTGGATGATGCACACATTTGCGATACTCTCAGTCTTTTTGGTTGAATGTTTCATTTTTCTAGGCTCGAACTACTTTGTTCGTCTAAAAAAAAAAAACTATTTTTGGGTTGCTTTCAAAATTAGCGCTCATTTTCTCATTTGGATTATTCTGAGCTGTCAGGTAATTACAACAACTATTTCAAAATAATGAGCAGGTCGGGAAAAGAAAGATATTTTCAGATGTGACCTCCATTTTATACTCTGCTGTCTTCCTTCTTGTTTTCGGAGATATATGAAGCCATATCCGGACATATTGCGCCCTTTCCTCGTCTTGAAGTTCATCAGTAGTTCTCCAGTTTCCGACTCTTTTTGGAGCTTTTGAATACAGAAAAATCGATTTTGATGAGGCTTTATTTTTTTATGTATTTTTTTAACTTATTTAAAGCTTCTAAAAAAATTCATATTTGCGTGCAAATGGCTAGGTTCTGAGCATTTATCCCCCCACATTTCAAAAATCTAGACTTGTCCACTGTAGTCTTTTTGAGAGTATTTTCAGTTATCTGTCCAGAAAATGGTAATTCACTTTTTTTAAGTTTTTAGCTTCAGGAAACCTCAGAATTCATTCTTGAATGAGTATTGCTAATCAATACGTAAGGAGAATTTTTTCTCACATTTCCACCTCTTAGGACAAAAAAGCGCGCAAATGGCTTTGTAATGAATGCAACCCACCTGTTGGACGGATTCACATCTCTGACTATTTCCCAGCCTCTGTCGGAATCCACATTTTCGCTTCGAAAATCGGAAACGCTGTAACAATACACTATCGACTCGGGTCGATGCTTCGGCTAGCCCAGCAGCAGTCGATTTTTGAGAGCTTCTCATAGTTAGTAGAACGCTGAATATTTAGTACGCGGGAAATACACTGAAACCGAGAAAAAAAACGTCTTTGAATTACGCAGAGTTGAACCTGGTGTGCACTAAAACTCTTTTTATTATTGATGAAGAATAAATAAGGATTCCCCATGCTCTTATTAGCGCCAGCAGAGAAAATAAGCCTTTTATGAATGGCCGAACAATTATTTCAAGTCTGCGAACGTCCCCAGGACGATTTGTGTATACGCAGCCGCAACGTTTTAATCCTGTAATTCTTCTTTTCTAAGCCCCGCTCTGCTTGCGTATTTTTGGCTTAAATCGTCCATATATGCGATTTCGATAGGTTTCGGTTTCAGACTATTTCTTGAAGTATTCTCTTTCATCTACAGAAATTCTAAGGAACTGCAACCTATTGATGGAGAAACCTCATTGAAGTTTTCAATGCACTTTTTTTTCAATTATTGGTCCTCATATGAATTTTCTTCTGCACCTGTTAAAGTCCACTGCCAAAAAAAGCCAACGAAAGTTTTAATAACGCTGAATGTCTTTGTTGAAGCGTTGCCAAAGCATGCGTGATGACAACAAGGACAAGCCCAAAAGATGTTCAAAGTGGCTGCTTTTCTTTGGAGTTTTGCAATAATTGATGCTGTTGAGCTTTCGAAACAATCGCCAGCCCTTGTTCCCAACAAAGGCTTTGTCGCATGCTCGCTGGGTGCCACCATTCAAAATTTTGAGGTTCGCGGGCTTTTGAAAAGCCTCGCTTCCTACCACGCCTGTCTAAGTGCTCAAAAGAGTCTTTCTATGAATTCATTTTTTTCCCTTTTCACTTTTTTGCTGCTATAAAACAATGATTCAGCGGACCAATGATTATCTTGCTAATTGAGTGAAAAAAAGCTAACTGAGTAGTCCTTGTTGTGCACTTCAAATCAAGAGTTACGCTCAAAAAACTTCCTCAAAGATGTCTAGTCTTTTTCAGGCGCTTGTTTTGAGATTCTTTTTTAAAGAATCTAGAAATATAACTCAGTTTAAAGTTTGTTGAACAGTCAAAAAAGCTGGGCTTTGAATCTATGAAAATTTTTTATGCACACTACACTGACTCTCATTAGTGATAAATCAACACATGTTTTACAGGCCTTCGAATCTTTCAAAAAAGCCTAACTTTGTTTCTGAACACATGAGTTTGCCAGCAGTGGATGACTCGGACCGAAGTCTGGAGGCAAAAAATGTTGATGCGTCTGGCTTGTCACCGAGCCAGATGTCGAACGTTGGCTGGCGGCCATTGCGTATTCCGAAGCGACTTCTTCTGCCTCGACTGGTCTTCTTAATGCATTGACTTGTCCACCACGCCTTTTCTTCTAGATGTGCGCATCACTTTCCGAAGCACCCGCTGTTAACGCTTCGAACCACTCTTGAAGAAACTTTCTTTGAACTTGTTACGCCCTCGTTATGTGTTTCATCGCGTTCCTCCTGTTTAAACAGGTTAAAATCGTTTCAGAAAAGTTATGCGAAGAAGTTTAAATTACTCACTTCGGTAAACTGGTAGAGAAGTACCAGTCTAACAGCGAAGACCCATTTGGTAAAATATTATTTGTTCTTGAAAGAAAATGGAGAATTTTTGACTGTCTTGCACAGTCTTACTTCTTACAAACCAGGCAAAAACACCAAGAGCGAACTTCAGAAAATTCAGAAAGCTCCGAAACCAAAAAAATCCGGAGTTTCAATTCTAATCCCCTTCCATGTCAGCTACCAAAGTTATTTGATTCAGTTTTTTTTTCATTGATTACCTCTAATATTAGATAACTTCTAAAGTCTCTAAAAAGTTTCTCCTGGTCGTTATGAATCAGGCAAGAAGCCTGTAGGACGCTGTGAAACGCTGGCGAGCAGCTGCCATTTTTCTCATCTTTCCGAAAGAGCCGTTAATCTAGGATTTAGAGCAGAAGTTGAGGGTGTTGTGGCGACCCCTTTCTGATTCTGGCGAAGAGGCTCGTATCGTACGTGTTTACGTTATGGCAGCTGCGCGACAGTTGCCAACTCACTCGCATTTCGCTCTTCTCTTCATTTTGCTTCCAAATTGTTCGAAAACTCTCTCTTCAGCTTCATATACTATATAACTTCAATTTTTTCTCCTGATCATTGAAATTCGAAGGAAAAGTCTAAAAGATTAGAAGTTCAGATTTTTGAGCTCTCAAAATAGAAATGTTCATCTCTAAAATTGAAATTTAGAAAAGGATAGGGATTGGAAGAAAAGATCTCAAAATCAAAAAAGTTTCCAGCATTTTTCAAAAACTTTTCAAAAAGATGACTGAAGTTACTTTCTTAAAGATAGCGTTTTAAAACTTCAAAGTTTCGACTTCCGTCATAATTGAAAATGCAGTAATTCGAACTTAAATTCATTTATGCTAGTTGATGGTCACTTTGCTGTTTCATTCAATGAATTACAAAACTTCTGATTATTTCAATTGATGAGGTATAATTCTAGCGAAGAATGATTTGGAAGTGACTTAGAACAATATGGACTTTTCTACGACGATATTTGTGAGAATACTTTCTCAAGTTTTTTTTAGAGTTTAATTTAATTTTTCTTAACGGTGAACTTTAGAGTTATTATTCAAAGTGAAGGAAAAAAAATGGAATGACTAATTTTTTTAGAAAAATTAAGACATTTTTAAAAAAATATACATGTTCTCCAGTTTTGTATCACTGTCGACGGCGTATTGACACCCGCGGCTCTTGAATGGCTCGAATTGAGCTCGCGACGGCCCAATTAGCCGCGTTTATCTCGATAACCCCAATCAATCAGTCTATTCAAAAGAGTCTTGTTTCTTCCGTCCACGGTCATTCTTCTTTCAAATGTTTTTCATTCTTACGACCATGATAGAAATTCATTTCTTTAAACGTTGCTTTTTCAATAGACGAAAAATGTGTATTTGAGGAATATTCAAGGGCAAAGCCTCTAGTACGAGAAGCTGACGACTTCGTTTCTTTTTTACTATTGTGCTCGAGACCGCCTAATCGTCAAGTCTTTTCAAAAGCTTTCTTGAAATCCAATTCACCGCAGACTGCAAGTACGGACAACTTGATTGAGTATCCGTTTTGAGGGCTCAGCGACTCTCATCAGCGTTTAGAAACACTGAGGCGAGTAGATAAGAAGACTCCATATTGCTTTTCGGTTTCAAAACTAGGAAAGATTCGCTCATTTTAAAAGCCTTTTTGAACAAAAAATCCTTCAGACTTTCAGTTCTTTGATGATCATTTACTCATATTCCTATTTCTTTCTCATTTTTCAATTTCACTTTTTTTTTCTCACACGCTCCTGAAAAGTTGTTTACGCGGTTCTTTTTATAAAAATTTGCCAATGAAAACAAAGGCAGTTCGATTCTCCAAAACCGAAAGTTGCAGAATTCCAGTGTTATCAGTTATTGCATTCGTCGTGATTATGTGAAAATTTATCTTTTCGAGTGGCATACTACTTTTCTGAACTTTTTCAATTGAAAAAAATTTCAACGTTGAAATGAGAGTTTGAGAAAAAAGTTCGGTTTTCCGGAAGTGCATTGAAGTAGTGTCAGCAAAGATGAAAGGTTACCTGCCGCAACCTCTTCTCGTTGCGGGATGGCTGCCATCTGCCGGCGTCCCGACGCAACGACGCTCGTTATTACATTGACCGTGCAGTTTATCCCAATCTTTGTCCCGGACATATGCGACCGCCCATATTCATTTTCTCTTGCCTTTGTTCGCCGACGCGGTGTTGATCAGGCGCTTTCTAGTTTGCCAATCACCCGTGAATCAATCATATCTCAATTCTCTTCCAGCTGCTTATCACACATCACGCGCTGGATTTCTCATCTCCCTTGACAGATGTCAATAAATACCATCGTTTTCGGAACTTTTTTTAATCTTGTGATTTCGATTTCTGAAAAGCGCAATCTCACCCGAAAGTCATTGGAATTTTCGATTTCAAATTCTTTTAAATTTTTCAAAACGCTTTTAAATAAACTGGAGATGAAGTCCTTGAAGCTAGACAAGCTTTTGTTTTTGATGGGAGATATTCACTCTCATGATGGTTCGCTCTGATAATATCTATCATACACAAAATAATTTTCGAGCTTCGATATTAAAACTTGCCGATTGAACTTCTCAACCGCTTTGAAACTCAAAAAGCTTTGAAAGCGTTTTTGAACAGAATAGGAAAACTGAGGGAAAATCACAAGAAAACTATAAAAAACGGAGCGATCGATTTTCGTCGATGGAGTCAGTCAGCTGCCAGGCTTTCAAACTATCTGCCCTGTGCATCACTTTTTTCCACTGGCTGTTTGTTTTCTCCCATCCTTCGCAGCGCTTTCCAGACGGACCAGTTCTTTCGCCACACACTCGCTCCTGGCCATTTGCTTTGATTTTCTCCTGGGTTCGGCTCGGCTCAGCTGACTTTTACCCGTTCTTTTTTTTAAAAGAGTGTTCTATTTATTTTTGGAACTTTTTTCAAAAACCCTCTGACTCACTTATCCGACGAAAACTATATTTGCGATTTTTCGATCAATCATTGTCCAGTGGAAATAATTTCCCGACATATTTTTAAGAAAATCATTGTGTTCTGTCAAGAAGACTTCATTGTCTTTATTTTTGCCAATAAGTTTTCCGGAAAACACTCCTAGACAGAGACTCATTGAAAACGTAGAATTTCGGAAAACAAGTTTCCAAACTTGTGACTTAATTATGTGTACTTAGTGTTTTATTTTTTTCATAATTTTCAGAAGTATCGCTGCAAAAATTATTGAGCGCTTTCGAAGATTTTATTCTGCCAAGTTTAAACCAACATATATTGTTCGTTTCGAGCACAGCGTCCGGAAGAAGATGAGCAAGTAGAGTATTACGGTGACCCGAAACGGTGGCCTACACGCAGTGAGGCTCTAGCTTCGGCTGCTTTCCTTATGAATTCGAAATTGAACTCTTCAGCCTTCTTTCCTGCCTAAATGTTTTGCGCACGCTCCCGCAGAATATGAAATTCATGATGATGACACGTTCATCTGGGGTTCTCTGCTTGATTTTTCAGAGAAAAAAACAAAAAGCGTCGGTTTTTCTCATTCATTTCCAGAAAGATTTTTTTATTATTTTTTTCTTTTTTTGAATAAGTGGGCAAAACAAAAAGAAAAAAAGTTCAGATTCTTTTTACGTTTCCCAATAACTTTTTTTCATTTACGTTCCAGAGTTTTCCTAATTGTAAGCTCCAGGTTTTTTTCAAACTTGTTCGCGAACCGTAGGACTGTCCAAACATGACAAAAGTGTAGCTCCCGAAAGGGTTGAAGCATTTGAAGGAAAAAAACGCGAAAAAGCGTCTGGATCGTCTATTGCGGTTTGACAGGCCCCGTCACGCCTTTCCCAATGACTCGGGTGCCTATTTTTAGGTTTGGTTCCAGTGAGTCGACCAATTTTCAAAAATCCTTTTTCGACACTTTCAGCTATTACATAAGAAGTTGGAGAACTGGAAAAATTTCTGCGTTTCTAAATAACTAAACTTTTTTCTCTTCTGATGTGAAAATTAAATTAATCCTCAGAAGATAATCAACATTTTTTGCTTGGTAGTTCTTTTTCGATTTAATTTTTTTGCTACTAAAAAAATTTATTTGTTTTTATGTCCGACGCGGTTTTTACCTATTTCTCCGTGACCGCAAAAGAGCCGACGTGACGAAAAGCATGTGCGAAACTCTTGTGTTGAGGCCTCGTCATTGCATAATCTTCATTCTCTTCGAGTTTGCATTGTAGCGCAAATACACGGGAATATGATGGTTCTCGCCATGAGGCGGCTCATTTTCCCGTTTTTAGAGCATTCTCGTCTTTCTTTTCGCATCAACTAGCACTTCTTCCTGTGAGAGGAACAAAATTTACATTCCTCAAGTTTTCTGATTCGATTTTCAATCTTAGCGACGTGTTATTGAAATTTTTCGATAATCATTATCTACTAGTTACTCACTCGTTTTTGTGTCTTCCGCATGAGTTAGCAGCTCGAATGTCATAACACAATCAGAGAACCAAAGATAAAATCTTTGGTCTCTTTGAAAAAAACAATCGCTCTTCTCTTTTCTCACCTACATAGCTATGACGGCGTTGGCACTGCGAGTACGCAAAAAGGTCGAGTGGGTGGCGGTCGGAGATGGTGTAAAACAGCCGACAGATACTGCGAAACTCTGAAACCGACACGTTTGAGCGCCGTAAAAACGTGTGGGTGATGACATGTGGCATGAGAGGATGACCTCAAGATGTGAAAATGAAATACAACTGCTGAATGATGTTCACAGGCGAGCCATGTTTAATTTGGTTCTGGGTTTCAAAAAATGTCTGACGAACCTAGAAATCGGTTTATTTGATGAAAAGTAGGTCATTTCTCAGTTGCAATTCTGTGTATCTTCCTTTTCTCGCGCCGTCCCTTTTCAAAGGACACCTCTACTTTTGTTTGAGGCTGCAGTTGGTTGTCACACTACCGTTGTCCTAATTGGTTGTTCAAATCATTTTTCGTTATATGATTTTCCCGGAGAAAGATTTTTTAAATGATGAAAATATTGATAAATTTTTGCTTGCTCATAGTAGGAAAAGCAAGGCTTTTTTGAGCTTTAGCGTTTCAATATATTGTTTTATCAAGAAAAGTTTGCAGGGGTTTTTAGAGACAGTAGCAGTTAAGAACGCTTAGTTTTCCCTTTCATATGTATGCAGATCTTGTAATGTTTTTCAACTTCAAGAACTACGAACTTGCTTGAACTTCTATTGGAACTTATGGAGGATGGCATATGTTGCCTTCAGCTGGCTGAATGTCGTAAGCAGTGAGGCTGGAAAACTGAAGAGCGCGTGATAAACTAACAATTGGTTAGCGTCGAGACAGTAGCGCTGGAGAGGAGAGGCCAACGGCGACTGGGAGGAGGGTCAATTTTGAGACAGTCGGTCGGTTCGTTTCGGTTTGGTTCGTTTGGAGTCGCGACAAAGACAGCAGCCGCGCGCCTGGGAGCTCCTGTTTGGAGAGCCGAGCCCTCTGACAGCCGCCAAAATTCATGCGACTCTTTATCTCTCTCCTTCATTCCACCACTTGTCCAGCCCACGGTTCGAGTGTTCCACCCTTGCTTTATCAGTCCGCGCTCTTGTCGTAATCCCGCTGTCGGCTGCTTGTTGTGATCTTGCATCTACAGACTCTTTTCCTTCTTTGAAAGGCTTCCCAGCTCACCCTCATTTTTGGTTTTCTTGATTTTTCCTTTTACGCATATTTTCTGACTAGATTCTAGTTGCTCTCCGAGATTATTGCTTAGATTTCTCGCAATAGTCGACTTCAACCTCAGGGTCTACTTTGTATAAAGTTCAACTTCTTTCTATTTGTCATACCTCGTCTTTTTTTTCTGGTACGACCAAGCACGTCATTTTTTCCCACAGCCTTTTAGAGGCTGAAAACATTACGGCTTGAAACAGTCATCGTTCTTTTTGTGGCCTGTAATGCTTGGTAGTGCATTTGTCGCCAACAAATGCTTCCATTTTTGAAAAACGTTTTTTTTGCAGTTTACCAGCCCAAACTTGCTCCAGTGTGTGTTTTCTTGTGTGTCGCGTGACGAGTCAGCAAATAATTAGGTAACTTTCTGGATGATATATCGATTCAAAATGAATATGTTTCCAGAAATGCTTCCAGCAGTTTACGGTCAGTTGGCGGATCCTTTGGCTCACGTCGCCGCCCTCGCTCAATCCGCTAATGAACCAGTTGTTGGTTAGTTCACCATGAATAATTATTTTGCGATGATTTGCATCCCTGAAATTTCCGGGCAATGAATGTTTCGAAATTCATCCTTTTTTCATCATCGTCACGACTTTTTTGAGCCTTTTATTTAACGAAAAAAAAATTGCTTGAGCAGCTTTTGTCTTCCAGAATTTTGATCTTGTTTATGAAATGACATTTTAACCTGTTTCTAGACGGCCTTAGATTCGAAACTAACTAAACCGGTCAAGTATGCTCAAAATGAATGTGTCTGTTTCTTAGAAAAGAAAACTTTCAGGGTCTCGGGATACAATGTTCACCAAAATTTTCGTTGGCGGACTGCCGTACCACACCAGCGACAAAACTCTGCACGAGTATTTTGAGCAGTTCGGTGAAATCGAAGAGGCCGTCGTGATCACCGACCGACAGACGCAGAAAAGCCGCGGCTATGGCTTTGTGAGTCTTTCCTTCTTCTGACTCGGTTTAATATTACTACGGTGCGCCCCCGCGGAGACGCGTTAGTCGCCTGATTTTGATGGATCTGCGCATGTGGTGTGGCTCATCGTTCGAGTCGATTGATACTTCGAAGCAAAAGCCATCAAAAATCAGATACTAAAGTGTCTGCGATGCGAAACGGACTCTGCCGAGCTATAAGATCATGAAAGGATATCGATCCAAAGAGAAAGCTTTTATCAGGAAAAAAAATAGTAAATCAGAAAAAGAAAAAGAAAATAAGAAAATCAAAAATAATTTTGGGACATTTGATATCTTTACTCGCAAATTTGTGCAGTTTAAGGTACGCCAATTTTTTTTTTGAGATCAAAATAACTACATCTTCAACTTTTTATCGCTTTTTTAATAGTTTTGTTATCCTTTTTTTCGAGATACGGTTTAAAATGTTTTTTGACAGAATTTTTGTTCAGGTCACAATGAAGGATCGTCTTGCTGCGGAACGGGCTTGCAAAGACCCCAACCCAATCATTGACGGCCGCAAGGCAAACGTCAACTTGGCCTATCTTGGTGCCAAGCCACGAACCAACGTCCAGCTTGCTGGTAACATTTTTTCATTTTGCAGTTGAAGCAAATGTTTTTTTCGCAGCTTTGGCGAGCCAGGTCCAGGTTCCTCTCCAAACTCAGCTCCAGGCTCTCTTTCCGAGAATCGGGTATGTCTTTGCTCGTGTGTGACTTCCTCTTTCCTATCGTTCCTCTCTATAAGACAAGCACTTCGGGTGTTCCCCAAAATAATTTTTTCTCTTTCCAGCGCAAACAGCGCAAACTATTTAGATTCGGGTTACAAAAAATGACATTTTCTAGCCTGTTGCGCTACTGAGAATCCGGTGACTCATCGAGAAAGTGAGCAATAGTTAAGGTTAGGCGTGCGTGATGTGTGCCAATTTCATTATTCTTTTCATTATATATCAAGTGCTGTGTTTGAAGTGAAGAATACTTTTTTCTCCCAACCCTTCCGGTATCATCGGAGAATTACCAAAGCTAAGCCAAATGAAATGCTTAATATTTTCAAAGGTTCATTTCCTTGCTGAGGGTGCTTGAGCTCGCTTTTTTCCCTAACGGTTGCAATAGTTCCACGCAATTCTACGTAGTACAATTATTTCATCTTTCACACCCACCCAGAAATTAAAAGAACGCACGAGGTTGTGCTAAAATTCCATTTTAAACCTCAAAGCGCAACCAGAACTCTATAAAAAGATGTTGGGTTTGCGTATTCAAGTTATCTATTCTTAACTTCAAATTTTAAGGAGTTTCAGGTGAAAAGATTTCCTTTTATTCTTTGGGAATTTTCGGCAAATTTGAGAGTATTTAGCTCCCCGTGTGACTTGAATATATGACAGGAAAGTCGGTCTGAAAAGTAAATTTTTACAAAAAAGGTCGTCTCAGTTTTTATTCGTCAGGAAAACTCGGACTTGTTTAATGAAAAATTTTGATTTTAGGTATCTGCGCAAACCTTCAACTGTCTATATTTAAAGTTATGGAAAAAGCATTAATTGTTGATTAAATATTATAAATAACATAGTGAAATTAGATGAGTTGATTTGAAGTCAAAACGAAAACCGTTTGGAAGATAGAAGAAAAGTTTTCTAGCGCAGTCCTGGCGCAACATGGGGTTTAACTAACAATCCGACGCAACTTTTTCAAACAATCAATAAACATATTTCGGACATTTCATCGAACACGCATGAGCGTGCCATTTTGGGTGATATTGTGACAACCACTGTGCTTTATTTCGAACAATCATCAACAACTCCTTGCTTTTTTTAACCTCAAAAGCACGATTGGTGTTTAGGATACCGCAGCTGTACTACCCAGCTGCAACTACTGGAATCATGAACCAGTTGATCGCTCCGGGCGCCGCAGCTCAGCCGCCCATCTTCGACTATCAGGCGCTCGCTGCCGCCGTCGCCAACAGTCAAAATCCCGGGGCTGCTTATGGTCTCGCCGGCCCTGCCAAATGTGTGTTTTTAAACAAATCTATCAAGTTTTCTCAATTTCTCTTTCCTTTCATTTTTGAATAAGATATATGATTTCAGTCCCTGTGGCGACGGCTACTCCTGGCCTTGAGCAGTACGGCTACACCGGCTACGGACTCGTTCCCGGCGCATACAACCTCCAAGCTGCTCAGCAACTTGCTCAGCAGCAGCTTGAGCACCAGCGGGTGTAGGACTCGTTGATACAGCCCAAGATTTGCCATAAAAAGTCGGTGAAATTCTCTCTCGCCTTCTCAGAAAATCGCTGACCATTGTGAAAAAATTCATCATTAATAACCTTCATGAGATCAAAATTGATTGCAATTCTACATTTTTTTTTATTCGAATGAACGTTAGAAGCTCTTTCTTTTGAATTATCTCGTCCAGACTCATTGTTCATGTTCGACTAGTCGCATCATTTGCCTTTACAATATGAGCCCTCATTTCATATTCACGCACTGCATTTAATGTTACTTCGTTAAAATTTCGCTTCTTTCTCAAACCTAGAACTGTTTTTTTTTCTTCTTTCTGAAAGTTACCCTGCAATAATTATATCCTTAACCCTCGCCTGATTTGCCTGTCCGATGTGCCATAAAGCACAAAAAAAATTTTCTTCATTTTTTCATATGCGCACTCCGATATATTGTCATCGATTTGAAATTTCATAATTTGCTTCCAAAAAAGTATTTTTCTGTAAATGATGAACAAGCAGAATTTGCTTGTACATTTAAAATTTTTGCTGGAATTTCAAAAGAAATGAACCAATTTCTCTGTGAGACTTCGCAGGAGCAGAAAAACAAGCATGGAATTGTTTGAGAACCGTATTTACACAATTTTTTCTTTCAGTTTGCTCGCCTGCGATCGTTTCTGCAGCTCGGGTCTTGGAACTGTCACTTGAGACCAAAAAAAGGGGCAAAGAAATATTTTTTTCAATTCATGAAAGCCTGAAAAATCGACTATTAAATAGTATCCTCAAAAGTTTTAAGCGCACTGTGCCCATTATTTTCGCAAAAAAAGAGTCTGCTCAGCACCTTAGCAGAATGATGAACATGTGAATAGTATGCTATCGATAGAATTGACAAGATATTTTGAAAGTTTTTTTCAGATTTTGAGAGGAAGACGAATATGGAAGAACTCAAGTTCAAATGGACTAATTTTGAGAGGAAAAATCATAAAAAAAGAAACTTGATTTTTTTGAATGCAGTACACGTAATTCGAAAAAAATATTTCAGCTTACTTCTGCGGTTTATCCAACCTTTTCATTGAAAATGGACCAGAAAGTCTGATACTTGACAGTTAAGATTTCTTAGGAAAGGCATTTTTTTTGCGTTTCTTTCAAGCTACCACATGGAGCCCGTAGCAAAAAAAGGTTTCTAAGAAAATATCGGAAATATTAATAAAGTTACTTTCTTCTAAACTTGGGATTTTTGCAATGTTTCCTCTTTCATCTAATTCAAAATTATTATAATAATTTATTATGACACAAAAAACAAGAAAAAAACATTTAATTATTCAATTAATTACAACAAAAGTTTCCACATTTCGAAAAACCCTGCGGACAACTGCAATTGTCCATTCGACACTCCGAAATCGAAGTCGTGGGAATCTTGTTCAAAGTTATCTTAACGACACACAGTTTTGAGCAAGTGAGAGGAACGGTAGTGACAGTCGTTGTTGGCGGCAGTGTCGGCGAGGGAGTAGGGGGCGACTCCGGCGGCGGCGTTGGAAGTTCCGTCGTCTCTTCTGGAGCAGCGCAAGATGGAAGACACTGAGGCATGCAGTACGGGATGCACTGGGACGGAGGAGCCTCAGTTGGAACAACCACTGTTACCGGCTCCATCTGAGGTGGTGGAGGTGGGACTGGTTCAATGCAGACTGGCTGACACTGAGGCATGCAAGCCGGGATGCACGTCGGTTGAGCTGGAGCAGCAGCAACTTGTTGTTCCAGACAGACCGGCTGACATTGAGGCATACATGCAGGAGCACATGATGAAGATGCAGCAGAAGCCGCGGCAGGTGCCAAAACTTGCTGTTCTAGGCAGACTGATTGGCATTGAGGCATACAAGCAGCAACACAGGTCGTCGGAGCTGGCGCAGGTACAGGAGCAGGAGCCAGGGCTACCGGAATATACGTTTGCTGCTCAAGACAGACAGTTTGGCATTGAGGCATGCACGCAGGGGCGCAATTTGCTTGAGCTGAAGCAGCTGGTGCATAAGGCTGATAGATTTGAGCGACCGGCGTCGCAACTTGCGGAACAACGACAGAAGCTGGAAGCGGTAAAGCTGGAACAACTTGAGCTACCGCAGGTTGCTGAACAACAGGTAGATAAGGATTGTATATTGACGACGGTTGTTGAGGCACAGCGTAGGGCTGGTATAGAGGTGCAGCTCCCGGAGACGCCGGAGTTGGATATTGCCCTTTTTGTCGGATGCAGCTAGGTAGACAGGACGGCATACACGCTTCTATGCAGTCCAATCGAGCTATCGGAGGCGCCGCAATCGGTACTGGAGCTTGCAGGTACATCGGGCTTTGCTGAAAGTTTTTTTTTGCATTTCTACTGCCAAATAATTGTGAAACTTTCCTTTTGAAAGAAAACAATTCTACATAAAGGTTACAAGCTTAAGTAAATTAATAAGGCGCATTTTTATGACTTTGCTCCTATTAGAAATGTGACTTTTGAAAAATATACATACTTCATATCAAATACGAAAATTTTTTTAAATTTATTCCACCTGAGAGTAGTTCAAAATCGCACGGAGTTTCTTGATAGTTTGCTTTAAAACTTTTTATGGAACCACCGCCATGTTGTCAAAGAACAACGAGTGAGTTTTAGGTGATTCTCGTTTTGCAAAAAATATCCTTTTTGTGGGTAGTTTCCAGTTGAAACAGGCAACTTCTGACGAATGACGTGAGCTCAATCAAAGAAAAAAAAAAGTTTACTTTTGCCACCGTCACAAGATCAACTTACAACAATAAAAAAAACTAAAGAAGAAAGCAAGAAAGACGAACCGCGCTAACCGCCGCTGCTAGCAGAATCAGTTGCAGGAGCATTGGAAAGATAAGGAGCTCTACGTGTGAAAAGATCATCGGGTGCGGCTTTTATATGAGCTAGCTGACCGGTCTGCCGCTTCCGGTCATCGCGCTCTCACGCATTCCCGTTTCACTTCACACTCTCGCCAATATCAAGCGCCAACTCCGGCGAATTTTTTTCTTCGGCCGGTGCCTTTTTTCTCAATATCAATCACGCTGCCCTGCTCAGCTTCTCGTAGATCTCCACGCCATGAGTGCTTTGTTTTGTGCGCGAGCCGCTCTTCAGGCCTTTGAGGCTCTTGGGGTAAATCTCAGAGTCCTGAACAACTAAACTGGTTTTCCGTTAGAAATCAGAAAAATTCAAATATTTCTCATAAAAAAACATGAAATCCATTTTACTCCTTACCCCTAAAAAAATAAATAAAAAAACAAAAAAATGATCAAGCTCAACTAATCGTGAAAATTCGAGTTAATTTTAAGCTGCCTAACAAGATTTCGAAAATTCAGGATTTTGTAAAAACTGTTTTGGTTGATTTGCGAACTTTGAGAATACTTTTTTTTGCATAGAGTTCAAGTTTTTTTCTCATATAGCTAGATAAGAGATCGCAGAAACTTCAGGTTTTATGGTCTTCGCAACATGAGAAAGAATTGTGAAAAAAAGTGAATTATAAAAAGCTTTGAAAGGACTTATTGAAAAACTTTCTTGAATCACATATCTAGTTTCAACCATACTGAGAAGTTTTATTTCAAATTGAGCACGCTCGACCAAATTTAATAGGGCGCAACCTTCAATTTTCCCTTTGAAAAAGTACCTCAGATAACCGGTTACTGGCGGTTAGAAGTCAAAAAATGTTCGATTCTCAAAATATAAATAATAACTTGTAGTTTGACTCACTTTGAAAAGGAAAAAGTGACAGAAGAATTGCTGTCCATCGTGAACTAATTGGCGAAGCATAATGAAGGCGATTTACGCAGTTTACCCTGGCTTAACCGGTCCTTCTGAATAAAAAAAGTTGCCGTTTTTTTTACCTGATTTGTTGCGTTTTCTTGACTAACAATGCAGTTGGGAAGTCATTAAGAAAACTCGATAAACCAACTTTTTTGCTCTCGATGTTCCTGTTTTCACATTTGAGACAAGAAAGCTTAATGTGCAGAAAAAAGAAGAAAAATGAGAAATCGCAAATTGTGAATTTTTTCTATGACCCGCAGTCAACAAGAAAAAGTTATGTCAAAAAACTTTTTCTCTCTTTTCACCGGATATTTCTGAAAAAATACTTCCCTGTCATCAAAAATGAACCCCGAAATGAGCGATGAAACAGAAAAGCCACTCTCTCACGTGGACGGTAATTTCCGAAGCAAACGCTTTCAGCGTAAATAGTGGACGGTTGCAGATACAATGTAACAAGGAAATAACAAACTTCGCCCAACCCGAGAAGCGAAAGGTTTGATCTGTGAGAGATAGGGCTAGACAAAGCAAGTTTTCTTCAAGCAATAGCGACAAAAAACACACCGATTGGACGATTGTCAACGCAAAGTGAAGAGACGAGTACGGCAACCACTATTTCAATTGTTTCTTCTCATGGTCAGCTTCTTCTTTTTTTGGCATATGGTCTTTTCGAAACAGACAGCGGTTTCAAGGCTGCAGGAATAGATCAAAATATCAAAAAAGAGCTGTTTGCTGATTTTATTTGTATACCCCTTCCGTCAAGAAGCATTTGGCTTTTTTTCTTTTACTGGTGAGGTCAGATTAACTGAAATTAGAAGTGAAAGTTAAAGATTCGGAAAAATAAAAACAGGTGCAAAAAAAAAATGCGACACACACCAGGATCGCATTCATCAGGAAAGTCCTTGAATTTGTGACAAACTATGTATTCACATCTTTTGCGTACTGAAAGAGTTTTTAAGAACATAATCGTCAGCTTCTTCGAGGTAATCGATTTCAAGGTATCCCACAAACGGCCGACATCATTTCGCGAAAGTGACAATCTGTATGAACTTCAAAGGAACATCGTAATCTATGACTTTGCGAAAGAAAGCTGAAGACGCAATTATCACACACCAGGATCGCATTCATCTGGTCCTCCAAAAACAATAACATTTCCCGATTTAAATGCTGACAAGTGGGGTTAACACACTTTATAAGATCGTGGTAAATTATTCATTTTCACCGAAAAAAAAATAAAGCTTTAAAAAAGGAGTCCGTTTATTTGAAATTCTCATTCAAAGTCATCAAAATTGAAATTATTCTCAAAAAAACGAATTTTGGAAGTTACAGTTTTTCAAAGGCTGTTATCAAAATTATAGGAACATTACAAAAAATGAGTTTCGATAGAAAATATTAAAAAACGAGATATGTCGTTTTATTCGAGTCAATTTATTTATTCCTAAAAATTTCACTAAATTCAGCTAGACCTTTCATACCAGATAGAAGTTTTGAAGTCTCAAACGCTAAGTTATCTTATTTTTAAAAAGAAATCGTGCCTAAGCGTACCACCAATTACACAAAACCGAGGAAAAAAATGACTTCGCTAGAAAGCTGTTCTGATGTGTTTTTTTCAAGACTTTTTGATATTGATATTTCATTCATTTTAGCTCGGTCAGTGTATCAAGAGAGAGAAGGGAAATCGGAAGCCATTCTATACGAAGGACAGCAAACGAAAAATTTAAAAAAATCTTTTTTTCTTTTGAAAAAAATCATCCGTAGATCTTAATTAATAAATGAAACTAATTTAATTTTCTATGAGCCTTATACCTGTCTTCCTTCAATAGTTCAGCTCATCAGGACGATCACACAGTTGAACCTACATTCAAGCTTCAAACAGTTTCAAACAAACTAAGAGGTACTTTCAGCGGTAATTTACAAACGTCTCAATGCATTTCAACTCTCTTCATCATGATCATCAGCCGTCATAGTAGATGTCGTACTGGTTTAGAAGTCGTTGCCGAAGCGGCGAAACCAACCGTTCGAGAACGCTTCTGACCCTCCCCTTTGCCACGGCGGCCTTGTCCAACGGCAGCCAGCGCCCACGTTCTTCTTACCGCCTTGGCCTAGCCAACCGCCGCGGATTTCTTCCCTTTCCTTTTCCAAGTTTCTTCCTTGCTGTCTCCGAACGCCATGCCCCTTGCGCTTATTGTGGGAACCAACTGATTTCGCGATTTCCCTTCAAATGTTCACAAGTCTTATCGCTTTTGTTCGCAGGAAGGCGAGGCCGGAAGAACGCCTAGTTCATGGGTTACCGCTAATCTGACGCCGACATGATGTTCGTGTTGATTATGACAGCTTGTGCTGCGGCCCTTTTCCAGGTTGGTTTTGGTCAATTCACGTCAGATTTGAGACAATATTTACGGAGATTTTTTTTGCAAAATAACTTGAAAAAACAGGTTCAGATTGCAGTGTGAGGATTATTGTCTCAAGCTAGTGGTGAATTAGTTTTAATTATCTATTTTTGGTTTCTCTTTTACCCCGAATATTCGCATCATGAGGAGAAAAAGTTATTTTTTGAAACTTAGTTTTGTTTATGAAAGTTTTGAATCGCAATGTTTTTTTCTCGCTTTATTCCTTATTATTTATCATTTTTCTAAGCATCTTAAAAGTGTGAACGCCCAAATGAACCGTGAAACTTTGGTTTGAAGTTTTTTTAATATTTGATTTTGCACTCTCAGCTCTGAACTTCTTTTTTGGAACTCGCATTCAAAATTTTTCAAATCAGTGCACTTTAAATTTACTTGCTTCAAGCTTCACTTACCAACCCCATCGCTGCCTTTTTTCCTTTGCATGATAATTTCGAATTCACTTTCTATTATCCAATCTTCTTCATATTAAAAACTTGCGCTCGTTTGTTATATACGCGTGTCAGCGCATCAAAAAGTTGAACTTCATAAAAGTTTTATGTGTAAAATGGAGTGAAATGGCAAATCAAGGAGAAACTTTTTACAGGGTGCCGTGGCCATCCACCGTGAAATGTCTCCCACCGAACTCCGTCATTTTTTCGGTACGAGCGACAAAGGAAAAGGTTAGTTGCGAGGAATCCCTTAAAGAATCTTCCCGTTCGTACGCACACTGTTCTTTTTGCAAGTCGTTAAGCTTCCTTGAATAGAACGGCGAACATCCATGAGAATGAGGCATATCGAGAATGTCTCTGAAAAACAGATGACCAAAGAAGCTCACAACAAAAAAAGCTTGTCACAGTTTATTTTAAAGTATTAATGGGCTCTTTTAAATGATCTTAAACTTAATTGAAAATAGTTTGATTCGATCCGCCTGATCTCAATGATTGTAAGTAGTCGTGACCACTACGAGAGTTTTAAATTTCATCAAGTTCTCAGTTAAAGATAGATGACCTTGCGGGCGTTTCTAAAACAGTTTCATAAGAAAGTTTCTTGATCACTTAAGTTTTTTTAAGTTTTCGTTTCATCGCTTGTTACTGCGTGATTTTTTTCCCCGTCAAAGCTGACCAGCGACATAATTTGTCATCTATTAACTTTACAACAGATTTCTCTCTTAGAAGGTGTTGATCCGATAGTGTAAGTGCCATTTCGTCATCCTCCTCAACGGGTTGCAACAAGGGTAGCATAATCGATTTTTCGAAGTTTTTCAGCTTTTGCTTTCATTCATATCGAAACATTTTTTTCAGTTCCGGAATATTTCTTGGATAAGCCGGTGAGGACAGACGCCGATGATGGAACATTCTACTACAATGTTACTTTTTCCGATCGCTCTGTACAGTATTTTTTGAGAAGGCGGCATGATTTGTTTGCAAAAGGTTTTGAGCAGGCTTTTATCATCATATGTATCGTATTTTCTCAACTCAAAATACCATAAAATCACATATAATCGGTCATAATCCTGTTTTGTGCAGACTTAAAAAAACGAAATCCCCATTTTTTTTATACAGTTTTCATATCTCCGGTTAGAAAGTTCATATCTTAAAAATGTAATTTTTGAACCGATCGGAACCATGAAAAATATTCATTCAGACTTTTTTCAGATATCTAAAGAAAATTCCTTGACACTTAAATAAAGTACCTTTTTTGCAACAGCTCCACGTGAGAGTTTTTAAATAAAACAAGTATAGTAAAGTAGGAACTGGCAACATGAACTTTTTGATTTTCAGAGTTCCATGTTGTTCTTCGCGATGAGTCTCCATCAATAAGTTTGCATCTGCCAGTTGCCGATTGCGTTTACGAAGGAGAATCAGTTAGTCACGATGGAATGAGGATCGCCTTAGCTGGATGTGGCAACAACCTGGTTGATCGTTTCGAACGGATGAATTTATGTTTTGGGTTCAGCATGGCATGGTGATAACACCTGAAGGGGAATATCATTTAATCCAGCCTCATGCTCGTTCAGGACATCACGTCATACACAAAAGGAGTTTAGACGAAATGGAGCATTCTTGTTTATTCGGTATATTTTGATATTATAAGCATCATAACTTTATCGCCATCCTGACTTTCTCAAACCCCCACCTTAAGTATAAAAGTTTGTTTGAAGCTCCCAGTGAAACTACTTTCCTTCAAATTTAGAAACTCGTTCCTTACCACCTGATAAATCTATTTCAAGAACCGGAAAATGATCCGTACCCCGAGGACAGAGCTGAAAGCGCAATGAAAAGCACTCTGATGCGGCTCGTCAAAGACATCCGACGTTCGGACTACAGGTTTTTCATTCGAAAAACACATTTTTGGTTATCATTGTCACGATAACTTTATAGAAAAGACATTTTGACAGTTGAATTGGCCGTTTTCACTGACGATGCAATGTGGCAACATTTTCGAAGAATGTATGGCACCGAGGCGGAAGAAAACATGCATACTTTCATCATGGCAGTCGTTAACAATGTACAAGGATCCAAAATATGAAAAACATAATAGTTTTACAGATTGATATTTTGTATACCCAGAAGACGATACAGCCACGAATTAACATCAAAAATAGTTCGTTACGAAATTTTTAAAAAGCGATCCCGGTAGGAAAAATTTTTAATTTAATAGTTAATCTGATGATTTGAGAGCGCAATGTCGGCTAGACAACATCTTTCTGGCAACGTCGATAAGCTGTTGGACGCTTTTTGCCAGTATCAACACGACATCAATCCTCCGCACGAGTCTGATCCGAGACATTGGGACCATGCCCTCTTATTTTCAGGGTAACAGATTTTGTTCGTTGCCCTTTTCAGAAGTATATCAAAAGTATTTTCTAACTGGAAAACTGGTGGTGAGCGAACACTTTTTATAAAGAAGAGTCGTTTAACCCGGAACTTCAAGAAACCTAAGTTTGCCCAACCATCTATTATAAGAATATGAATGATTTTGTGCTAAATTTAGAGCCGATCTCACTTGTTGAGGGAGTTAATTAGGCATCGACCATTTGAAAAAAATTCTGCAGTTCTGGTCTTCGCTGTCAGAATGCTTCCTATTTTTACTTTTTTTGCAGAATCCTGATGTCTTTTCTCAGTTTCATTCTGAAAATATTATTAAGATATGACTTATACCGAGATGGAATGAGAACCGTAGCTGGCTATGCTCCAGTGAAAGGAATGTGCAGCGGTGTTCGTTCTTGCACCATAAATGAGGGGCTCGATTTCGGCAGCGTTTTTGTTGTAACGCATGAAATGGGCCACAGGTTGATTTTATGGTTTAATTCTCACCAATTACGAGCTTCAGCTTGGGTATGTATCACGACGGGGACAATGATTGTGATTTGCGATGCTGTATAATGAGCCCATCGGTTGGGACAGGCAAAACTCACTGGAGCCATTGCTCTGTCAGCGAAATGTCCACTTTCGTTGGAGTACGTTTTCTCTTCGGAAAATTTTTAAAACTTCATTCATTCTCAGCACTTGGGTGACGACTTCCGCGCGCCAAATTGTCTTCGAGACTCACCCACCTCTGAGCAGCCAGCGATGATGTTCAAGGTTATCCAGAATTTCGGGATTCTTTTTCTGAATATTTTTATTTCAGGATAAAGAAAATCCAGGGCAACTGTTCACGCTAGACGAGCAGTGCGAGATATTTCATGGAGAATGTTGGAAGCATGAGCTCAAAGATGGTCAAAAGCTCCAGGTATCCTAAAAAAAAGTGTACAGAACAGTCAATAAGGGGACGTCTCATAATGGATCTCACGGGAGTTGTTTTCATAGGAACTCATAAGATATTGCACGGAAAGTCTTCGAGGTCTTGATATATCCTCCGTTATCAACAAAAAATCCAAATCTGCGAATGTGGTTCCTTAGAGCTGTTTCTGGGTCAGGCTTTATCCTTTTTGAAAGTTCCCCCAATCATCAACATTAATAGAGCTGCATCTGCGTCTAAAAAGTTTATTTCTCGATTTCATGCAAGGCACTTTTTCCAGAACGTTTGCTCGATGGTTTGGTGTGGAAATGGAGAAGGAATAATCAGGACGGCTCATCCAGCACTCGAGGGAACTTATTGTGGTTTTGGAATGGTTGGTGTAAAACGAAAATCTGACAAAAAATGTTGAGTTGAGGTTTGTCATCAAGGACAATGTGTAGGAACAAACAAGTACATGAGAGTAGCGTCAGGAGGTTGGTCTGCTTGGAACGACAGGCCTTCGTCAAGTTGTGGTGGAACCTGCACACCCTGTGAAATCCGTGGCCAAATCCGAGTGATTCGCAGTATCAGACAGTGCAACAATCCAAGGTTTGTCGAAAATTACGAGAATTGGTGGATATGATTTGCTGATTCGACTGAAAACTCAAATAAAAGCTAAATGTCTCCTTGTGACTAAAATAGCTCGATTACAATTTTCTTTTGCGTTGGGGCAGAAAGCTTCTTCAGAAAATCTTCCTCACTGTTTCACTGACCTCTTTCCATTGAAAAATATTTCGAGGCTATCCGAGTGTAAATTACCAGAAGAGATAAATATTTTGCAGCCCAAACAACGGCGGCGCGCCATGCTACGGAGATGAAGCAAGGGGGATCCGCTGCGGGAAAGAGGTTTGTGTTTATAATCGAAAAAGAAACGGAAAAATTGAGTCGTTTCACTGGTAATTCCCTAAATTGAAATGTTTGAAGTGTTCGAAATCTCACAAACTCCCAAGAAAATTTCGCTCGAAGTATCAAGTAATGTTACCTTTTTCATTACTGCAATTTTGACTCTGTGAATTACTATAGTAATGCAGGGAAAACCAATTCTGAAATGATTTTGTTCTCAAAACTATAATAGGTGTGCAATGGAGACTCCATCGAAAACTTTGCAACTCGTACCTGTTCAAAACTTCGCGATGAAAATGCGATTCCCAACACGCAACTGTCCGGTCAAGGAATTCAGTTTGAACAGGCGCTGTGTAAAATTTGGTGAGAGACCTCAGTTTCACAATTCTTCTACTCGTCTTTTTTCAATTCCAGGTGTCTGATCGCAGGTTCAAATAACATTCGAACGGTTTCCAACTTCCCTGACGGCACGCCTTGCGGTGGAAACAGATACTGCATCAAAGGAGAGTGCAGAGTAAGGAAATAAGCAGTTTTCCTGTTTTGATTTATATGAGATTTTTAAATATTGAAAAAGTATGGTTCCTGATAGAAACTTAAGAAACTTAAAATTTTAATGATTACCGGACTGAATGATTTCACAGTGCGTTCCGGCCAAAACGATCACGTTTCCGAAACAGCCGAAAAAAAGCAATTTTAGAAACAGCTGTTTTTCTGCTCGTTCGCTTTAAAAAACTGCAAAAGAGCAAAAACAGAGGTTTTGAGGCGAAGATGGTCAAATTTGATCTAATTTGGTATACGGTCTTTTTGCCGGAAAGTTAAACGTGACAAGTTGGCGTGGAATAGACTATACATGCATTCACCGCTGGTTTGAGGCAAAATTTGATGAGAGACTTTACATGATTATATGAATAAGAGCGAAAAATAAAAATTTATGAGTATTTTTAGCACCAAAAACCAAGTTATTGCTTTTTGTTACTATTTGTCATCCTTTTGCAGCCATTGCTGTGCTCTGGAACAACTATTACGAGTTATGAGTCACAGTGTGCTCAGAGCACCAAGATGCTACCAACTCCAGCTCAACCAAAGAAGACGAACTCTTACAAGGAACAAAAGAAAAGTTAGTCAAAAATTGTGTTCTCAAGAGCGGCTGTTTTCAGTACCTTTCCTGAACGAATGGTCAGGCTGGTCAGCATGGTCGGATTGCATCAGTTACGACTGTCGTGAGTGAAAGTTTGGAAATGGTTTGACCAAAACCCCCTTAGGCACTGCTGGACTGAAAGTCCGAGTTCGAAGATGTCTAGCTGGAACTTGCATAGGAAGTTCGAAGGAAAGAATGCCTTGTTACCGACCTTGCACAGGTTCCTTATTTTATTTTTCAAGACCGGCTCAAAAAAGCTTTATTCAGATCCAGGAAATTTTATTTGTAGTAGAAAGTTAGAAACTTCTTTTTCTGCCTGAAATTACCTTGTTAGTTGAAAAAATTGGCTTTTGAGGTGATTATTTTAAAAATTTGGAGGGAAATATGACAATTTTTAAAGCCAAAACTTTGATGCGTAGCCACATGCTTTCAGAGAACTGTTCTAGACTTTCATTAATGCCCTATTTCTGTTGAACAAAAACTCTAAACTTTCGTTTTTTGTTTTTGAAAGCAAATGTGTTTCAATGTCTATAAATTTAGAAACAGAAACAGCGACGACGACGATAGCCCCACAACAATCTTTCGGAAACCGATTCATTGCTCCTTTCCCTAACGGTGGGTCTTGAAAGTTTTTTCGATCGTAATAATTGAGTTTCAGGAGGAGGTCGACCGGTAACGGTGAAGAAAGTACCAGGACCAATGAAAACGCAAGTTAAGAAAAGCTGAGACAAAAAATGAGTCATTTCAGAGGCGATTGGGGATTATGGTCTGGCTGTAGTACGAGCTGTGGGCCAGGACAAAAAATAAGAAGGAGAAACAATTGCGTGAGAGGTTGAACTCGATACGAAAACATCCGTGATCTTCTCAGTTACAGATTGCACCGAAGTAGCTGTTTGTAGTGTGGCTGAATGCAGCGAAGGATGGACGGAATGGAGCGACTTCTCGCAGTGCAGCAAATCTTGTGGTGGAGGGCTTCAGACACGCAAAAGAGCCTGTTACGTCTCTTTCTGCAGAGGAAAGGACAGTGAGGTCAAGAGGTGTATGGAACAGGTTGGTCTTTTGGAACACTGTATGTTTGTTACAGTATGAACCGGATGGTACTAACTTGCAGTGGAACGTCTGGGTGATATTTAGATCATTAATTTTAACTGAGATGTGAAAAGTTCAACTTTTCCAGTTTTTGGACACATTGGGAAAAGTGGATTTCTTAGAAAAGGGTTGAAAAAGAGGACTATAGTATCTAGCTAAACATGACTCTGATTAGAGAATTTTTCTGAGCTTTTCTTTGAAAACTTTCACGCAGTAACTTCTTTGAGATAAGTATGAAGCATATCAGCCTTGGTTATAGTCTTTTTCCGGAATCCTCACTATGAGTTCATAAAATGCCGCGATAATTCATAAAGACTTTTTCAAACTTCAGGACTGCGCTCATAGAACTCACTTTGAAAGAAACGGCTCGTGGACCGCTTGGTCAGCTTGGTCCAGTTGTACGACAAGATGTGGTTATGGCAGTCGAACAAGAAGACGAAGATGCTATCAAGGTGTTTGCAAAGGTAGTTCTTTCCAAGTTCAATCCATTCCTGTTTTCGATTTAGGAACCGAAGAAGAACGAGAGTCTTGCCGTGGCACCGAGTGCAAAACTTAATTTTTACACATTCCACTTTTTCTGAGTACTCGCTAGTTTTATTGTCATTGATTTTTTTCTTTTCTATTGTTTGAATTCATCGACTTGATCGCGTAAAACGCTGCTTTTTTTGAGGATTTCAGTGATAAACTTGTGCTGAGCCGACTTCAGGCGGGTTTAAAAAAATTGAGACTTTGACAGATTCTGTGCTTTTTCCTACGCATGTAAAACGTATAAATTATTTTGATTCCTTTTATTGGAACTTTAATAAAACTTATCTTTTTTATCCTTGGAAAAACTCGAAATCTTCCCAGGGGAAATAAAGTTCGACGTGGAAGAATATAGTTCAAAAAGCAGAAATAAAGAACTTTTTTTTCTTGCAGAAAGATTCTAGGAAATTTCATAAAAGAAAAAGAAACATCTATTTTATTATTCCTGAAATTTTTTGTTTCAGTTTTTTCGATTCAGTATTGGAAAAAGCTAGATTAATATTTCCAAATACAGTCTTCACGCTAATTTTTCAAAAGTGAAAATTTCCGCAAATAGCTTTGAAAAACCATTACTGGTTAATCAGTCAGTTGTATCTGTATGAAACGTTTAAAAAAATACTTTTTTTCATCCTAAATAAATGTCAAAGAAGCTCAATTTGGGCGAAGATTTGTTTTAAAGGGGAATTCATTTTTTTCTTGATTGTTATATAGAGCTGCATCTACCAACCAACCACAATGTTTTGAGATCTATTTTCGTGAGCGATCAGAGCTTTTTTTTTGTGTTCGGTCTCCAAAACACTCCTCAGATCCACTAGGAATAAGTTTCCGGTTTTGTTCTAATTGAAATCCTCTGGAGCTCAGCTTAAAGCTCACAGGATGAGTCCCTCTGCTGACGATGAGCCAAAGCAGCTGTTACTTCTCGGTTTTTCGCTTCTGTGTCCATTATTTTTTTTTCAGACGCGCCTTTTTTTTCTGGTATTGTCTCCTTGAAATTTATTTTTCACTTCCTGGAACTTTTTTCAGTGCAACTAAAAATTAGATTTTTTTTCTATTGGGGCTCAATAATTGAAATTTAGTTCGACTTGAACCAATGGTTGGAATAAAAACCAAAGGCGAATTTGAAGTACTGAGATAAAATTAGATATTCTTTGGAACGGTTTTAAAAAAACTTTCGAAATTATTCAAAAAAATTCCTTTAGGTTCTTTCAAAGCCATTTTTTTCCAGTTTTTCATTGAAATTTTCTGGGTATGTATCCATACAAATGACACTTCTAAGACCTCTTTTTTTCTGTTTTTTTCAGGCAGCTTATGAACAACTGTCATTGGTTTGCCTTGGAGAGTATTCATATGTGATGAGCTGGAAAATGAAAGACGAAGGTGAGTAGGGCGATTGAGAACGCCTTGATCTGCATGCGTTACACTGTCTGAGGACGCTTGTCATTCTTTCCGAACAGAAGAAAGCGTTTCACTGAGCCATGCGTGACCCAGGACTGATTCCAGTCAAAGACGGCGATTCGACTTTCGGAAGAGATTTGGAATCTGTCGCCTTTGCCGTTCTGCTTTTTTTGCTGGGAGGCGTCGTCTTGTTCATTTCATGCTTTATCGTCACCAAGTGCTTGCAGTGCTATAAAGCTCGACAAAGGAGGTTGGTCTTTTAGAAAAATTTTTTCTTTTTCTAGCAATTTCGCGATCTAAAAAAATGAAAAGTTATTTTGATGTTCTTCGATCGAGAATCTGTTGACCTTATTTTTTTTGTCATCCTTTGAGAGTGTGCTTTTTTTAATGTCAGTCATGTTCTTAAACTTTTATCAGTTTGAAAGTTTATTTCAAATTTAAAACGTTCCAAGAAAGTTTTTCAAATTTTTTGAAACTCGGGGGTTAACTTTTATGAAATGATAGGTCCTCGTCCCATTGTTCGATGAAACAAAAATTTTCTCGTCAGAAATTTCCAGCAAGGTAACCTTTACGGTCTGCGAAAACTTGAAAAATATCTGTTTTGCGACAATAAATTTATAATCGAGGAAGTGGGAAATTGTAGCCTCTCGCATATGTTCCGAAGAAAGTGTAATACGACTCTTAAACTCCCGTAAAACGGCTGGGATGTGTCCAGTAAAGTAGGTGCTTGAAATTGTTTGAAATCGAATACAGATTTTGGAAATATTTCAAAACCTTGAAAAAATGTTGAATTTCTCAAGGAGATCCTCCCAAACTTAAAAAATTTCAATCAACTTCACTTTTTTCAAGCTTTGAACTCATACATGTTGCTTGTCTTCAAATATTCGATTGAGTTCAATTCTTCCTGTTGAAATCACTAAAAAAATTTTTCGCTTAGTTAAAAAAATTCCTGAATTTCTAAAAAGTTCCAAAAAAGTTTTCATTCCAGGCTACGAAGACTGGCCATGGGAGAAGACGACGAAATTGACAGCCTCGATTTCGAAGAAGAGACTCCTTGTCACGATTCAGGAAACCCACCATTAGTTCATCTGTAAAAAAACCTTTTTTTGATTATTTTGCCAATATCCCTCTTCAGATAACTTTTTCTGTTTTAATTTTTTTATTCTGAAAGCATGAGTCATTTTTTTATAGTTCACGAGTAACGATATTGACTTTTTAGAACAGCCTTTCCTGTACATTATATATCGAACGAGTTTCTCACACATAAATTATCCGTTTTATTGTCAACATAATTTCGATTAGAATATGTGAATGAAAGAAAAAAAGAAGGAAAATAGGGAAATGAGCATGAAGAAATAACAGACAGAGTGGATCACATTAGAAGATTTCAGAAAGTCTTTGCCGTGGTTGAAGCGACTGAGATAAGAGTTTGATAACTTTCTTTGGAGAGCCCAGTTTATTTAGGAAAATGGAAAATTCGATAGAAGTTTCTTGCCAGGCGCAATCAGTTCAGAGTTCAAGAAGTTGCTAACGACCATTCTAAGAGAAGTTTTTGAGTGAAAAAAAGACTTTAAGCATGTCACCGAAAGAATAAGAACCAAGAGTAGGAAAAATCCCAATAAAGCTGAAGGATGGAAAGAACAGTTTCCGGGGTGATTACATGATACAGCAAGTCTTCTGCTTGCCGTTCACCGAGTATCGAAGCTTGCGAAGTTCCCCCGTCGGCTTGTACTTCTCGAGGAACTGCAGCTGTTTCTGGTTGAGAGCTCCTCGGCGTTGCCTGAAATATGAAAAAGTTATCTAGCGATATTTACTTTTTTTGTGATATCTCTTCCGGCTTTTGATTAAAGCTACCATTTGGTCAGATTTTTCATCAGGCAAACCTCAAAAAACCGATTTCTTGGGTGCGGGGGAATTCTTCTAAAAAAATCTTATATTATCCAAGAGATTCAATAAAAAAATGCAGATATCGAACTTTTCCCCGCTTCTTTTCAAAGCACCTGTAAAAAGTCGTTTTTTTAAAAAAATCCTAGTCTTGATTTGAGCTTAAAAAATATTATCATTTTGAAGGTACCAGAAGGTTGCAATAAAATGAAAAAGCCTATAAAAAACTCACGTTCGAATCATCTCAACGGCGTCCTCGTACTTCATGCCGGCTTCAATGAGAGCCAAGGCAACAAGGACCGGAGCTCTTCCGAGTCCTGCGACGCAGTGCACGGCGATGCTTCTTTGAGGATGCTCTTTGAAAGACGTCTTGATGAGCTCCATCCAGTCTCGGATCACCTGAACCATCTTGTAAATAAGTAACTGACTTTCATCCCTCTCACAAAATATCCAGTTCTTTCTAGTAAATTCGCAGCTCCTAGTAGCCTCTTGGGCATATATTAAACTTCAATTAGAAGCGAATACAATATATGAGAATTCTCTCTTGCATAGTAGACCAAATTTACCTCAGGCGGAGGCGGGGAACCATCAGAAAACTCCCAGTCGAGCACGTCTATTCCGTGCTCTCGCAGAGCCGTCGTTTCATAAGTTGGCTCACAGACGCGAACAACAGCTCGGGCGTCATGCTTCTCCAGCTCCTAAATGTTTGAAACATTCGTTTTCATAATATTCTTACGGAATAATCTATAATCTCATCTTCATACTGCCGTAATCCTGTCAAATATGAAACATTTCTTAAAATGAGTTTTCTTAGACGGTATCCAACTCGCGAAAAATAAGAACTGTCCGATTACGCTGTTTTTCCTTTTCAAGTGCTTCTCTCTCATTGCTATTTTTTTTTGGAGCGCCGGTGAGAGAAAGAAGAGCGCAGACAGGTCCGACTTTTTCGAACCGTGTCAAATTTAACATTTTCACCCCTAAGAACCTTAAAAAGTAGAGTCTAGTTTTCACCTCAATGTAGGTATTGATAGAGGAATCGCTGGGTCGGTCGGTGATTAGGAAACGCATTTTGCCGAAGTTGATCTCCGAGGGCGCAGGCTTAAAATAAGCCGGAGATGGGTTCACGACTTTCTTGTGCATCGTGGTCATTTAGAAACGTTTAGAAGATTTCTGAAAAATGAGAATTTCTTAGCACCTATTCTATAAACTGAGCCGATAATTCTATTTACAAAGTGAAGCACTGGAAAAAAGTTTCTGCTGTACAGAGTTGTTGGAATTCATCCTTGAAACCCTTCATTTCCAGACGGATAAAGGAATTTCGTATCTCCAACAAAACAAGCTGCCATCAAAAAAACGCAATCGAATGTTTTTAACAAGTGCTTCACGTGAAGTGTCATGTGTAGAGAGTGAAGGTTACTTTCTCAACTTATCCAGATAAAAACCATCGGTTGATATTGTAACATTATAATTTTTCAAAGACATAATGCGCACTAAGAAGTGATGTTCTAGACCGCGAAAAGTTTCTCACCCCGCAATTTCTTTTTTTTTGCGCTGACGTGTAAAATTTCCTTTCTCATAAAAAAAAAACGAATTCAATGGAACGGGAACTTTTGTACAAACAGCTCCAAGCAGTTACAAAAAACCTCAGGGAATAAGCAAAGTTTCAACATACTGAGTAGTTGCACAAAAAGTATCAAATTTATTTTCAGAGTTTTCGCGATATCCTTGAAAAAAATTATTTGACAAACAAGAAAAAAACAATCTGAAAAATTTTTGAGAAATTAATGGCTTTTTTTGAAAAACTTTTCGGCTCTTTTTTTATTTTATATTTTTTTCAATGAAACTTGTTGAAAAAAATGAAAAAAATTGATTTTAATTTATTACTATCCCACTTGCCTGAAATCAACATAATAATTCTTTTGATGAATGCGGAAGTCTTTTTTTGAAACGGAAACAGATTTTTCAATTAAATCAATTCTTCAAAAAAATGATTCATTCCTAGAAAAAAATTACCTTGAATCAGTGAAAAGTCGAATCGTAGAGAGAAAGTGAAGAATTAGGGAGGCTCGAAATATACGAAATCGATGAGCGAAACGATTTTTAAGGCGTGGGAGCGTCGTCGACGATAGTCAATGGTCGTGCTGACCTCGGCAGTATTCGCCAACCGGTGCTGCAGGCAACACACTCAACCGGCTGAAAAATTATTTTTTTTCCATCAATTCTTGCTTGATAATTTCATGCGATCTAATTTACATTTGTATAAAACGATCTTTAGTTTTCAAAATCATTTTTAGATAAGATTCAAATTTAGCAATATCTGAAAATTAAGGCAAACTTAGAGTTCAATGATTAGCTCGAAGGCTTCGAAAAAAAATTTTTTTCATGCAACATAAAATTCCTTAAAGTGTATTTCAATAATAAAAAAAAAGGGTTTTGTATCTCTGAGACGCCAAGGCTTAATAAAAAAAAAAAGAATGAGCGCGTTCTAAGAGAAAGGAAAAACAGGCATATTCCATACATAAAATTAAGAGCTCCTGAGCTTTATTGTAGCTTCCTCATTCTGAAATCTGATTACTCGATCGAATTTACATAAAATTGTTCGAGAAATTCGATTTTATTATGCCAAAAGCAGGAAAACCCATTTGAAATAAATTTGAAAAAGACGCTTTCCAAACTCTGTTTGGATCGTTTTCAAAGCACCTCTTACAGAAGCGATATTGGATTCATCGTGAAGGAATTTCACATTCGCGCGAAAATTAAAGGGAAATTGATATGTGGAAAGGTGTGAGAGCAGCCCTAGAGAATAATCCAATTGAATGAGGCGAATGGAAGGCGGCTCACAGTTTTTTTCTTCCACGTCGCGCCCTTTTGCAGCCTTAGTTCCAAGAGCACGCACTAATTGTCGGGTAAGATTTTCAGAAAGCTCACTTCCGACTCCTGTGAGTGTGAAGATAAATTGCTCGAATTTTATTATTGCTGATGCAAACAGCGCTAATTAATGATAAAAGGGATGAGTATCTTCCTTTGTTCATACTGTCTACAGCAAAAACTACTGATTCAGTTGAGAAAAGAAAAGTGGCGATTTTTGATTCAAACGGCAAAAAAATGACGATTGCAAAGAAAAACTTTTGATTCAGAGAAAATTGGAAAAACACTCGAAACGTGGCGGTTCTCGGCAATGATTTGGTTTCAAGTGACTTGCTCGAATCAAATGTCCGGTTTTTTCTCCGACCTCTCCTCTTTTGCGGTTTCCCTTGGGAATTTTGATTTAAAGTGGCTCTAAGACTCCAAGGTCATTGACTTGCTACCGAAACTTTTCACCCACTTATTTTTAAGATTTTTAATTCTACTTTGAAAACCTTCTTCAGTAAAAATAATGACTTAAACCTAGTACTTGAATCAATAATATAAAAAGTTAAAGAAATTGGATCAACTCAAATTAGGAATAAAATTAAAAAAAGGTAAAAATGACGGGCCATGAAACTATTTTAAAAAAATGAATTTTACGTTTTGGTCGCGACTATGAAAGCAGAGAGGGAAAAAATCATAGTATCAGACGACCTGCGAAGAAAATGGGTTTCAGTTTTGTTTGGGTTGAACGTCTTCTCCGCAACCCTTGAGAAAAAAATTGCTCTCTGACCGATCAAGTTTACAGTCAAATTTGAATTTTTTTACGATTTTCCACCGCATCTGCAACGACACAATTCAAAAAAATTGAAAAAAATATTTCGATTAAAGGTTGAAAAAAAGTAAATTTTATCCATTTGAAAAATGAAAAAAAGTTCACATAGAACATCTTTTTGCGACATACGCCTACGGGTTTGTATTGAATGTTTACTATCAGGCTTAATCCTCTTAGCCGGATAACGTTGTGTTTCGCCGTGATAACATGTTTTGCCCAAGTAAGAAAAAGCTTTGTGTAGGTCTTCTCTGAACAAAGAACGGCATATAAAAAATGAACAAAAAACTGGAGCACATCTTATGACTCTTATGAAAACAGCCATGTTAGAGCAGAAGTAAGATAGTCTGGCTTTAAGAATTCAATGAAAAATGCAGCAGAAAGAAATATTTCAGAGCGTCGACATCGCGAGTTTGATGTGAAAACCTATAAACGTGAAGATCCATGAGAAAACGGATAAAATGTTTTTGTGCTGTCCTTTTCTCGGAAATGAGCTTGAGCAATGATGATATTCAAACGAAAAAAATATTTTTCTTATTACCGGACAAGCACAACTCCGCAGCAGGTGGGAAGCGCACAATTTGGAAGCTCATCTGGTGTAATCAGTTTTGGGAAATAGATAAAAAAAACCAATTCTACCCATTTATTGAATTGTGGAGCTAGTCATATTCCTATTGGTCCAGTAAATGAAGAGTATCTGTACTGTTTTCAAAATTATCACAGCTTTCTATAGTATTTTTCAGGGATCTTTTTTATCTGAACTTGTCAAGACCTTTTTGAAGACTGTTCTTAGTGAGCTTTGAGAGAAATAACTGACCTTGGAGAGTAAATAAAAAAGAAACTGAACGCCTTTTGAACATTGGATGTACTTAGCGCGACCAATCATCCATGTTGCGTAGCGAAGTAAACTATTTTCCGTTGTGAAGTAAGCGAAAACAGTTTTTTTCTCAAAAACGCATGGGTTACGCGAATAAAGAACATTCTTTCACTGAGAGGAGGAACGATATCTTGTTTAAACAAGAGAAAAAAATTCTTTGACCTTCCCGTTGAACAAAAATCTCTTACCTTGGCTTCGTGTGGAGCAGAACCCAGTCATAACAAAAAAGTCAGGCAATTTGGTACAAACACTAAGGTTTGAGCTCACAGACGGTGAGAGTAAAGCAGTCATAGGTCAACACAACATGTGGCGCGTCACGTATCCCGCCGAGCACCCGCTAGGTTTTTTTTTTCTTCAGAGCGCCTGTTGCCATTGACTATCAGAGTAATCCCAAAAGAACTGCGAGGCCGCGTGATAAGTAGAAAAAACATCAGTCAGATGTTCGCTATTCATGTCGGTTTTTCCAAACGATTGGAGAACTTTTGCGAGAGCAAGTTGGAAAAGTTGTACCTATTTTGGAGATTGTTCCACTACACTACTCATTAGAAAAGTATAAAAAAATACATTTATTACCATATGGAAAAACACTTTTTTTGTATGAAATAGAGTCAAAAAACAGCTAAGCTACCTAACTTTTGAATTTAGAAAATTCTGATCTTCAAAATGGCATATTTTATACTTTTCAATAACTTTTCTGTTAATTTCGTAAAATATATCTTTAAAAACTCGAAGGTTCTGCACTTTCAAAATATATAATGAATCAAGTCCGTCAGAAAGTAATAATATATATCTTTTAATTCAAAGTACGCGAGGTGAAATCAACTTCCGTGTCACGAGATGCTGACTCAGTTATTTTGCTATTCTAACAAAGCCTGCAAAAAAAATCTCCGCCAGAAAAAATTGAATATAAACCGACAGAAACTCCAGGTTCTCGGAAAATCAGACAATAGAAGGCTATTTTTGTTTGAAACGGTGGGAAACTGCAGTTCCTAGTTCCTTGAGAGCCAGAAGTTTGCGCAGACGAAAAATCTATGTGTTTGATTCTTAATGCTTCGAAAAGTGTTTTAGCAGATTTTTCAAAAATTCAAAAATGATTAAATGACTTTTTTTCGAGAAGGCTTTTTGTCAAAAAGTAAGGAAATTTTTCCTCAAAGTTATTCATTCTATTTGATTTGCTATACCTGTCTATAAAACTTCTTCTTCTTCTTCCTACGCCTTTGTACCGCTTGAGCGGCGTCGGCGCCCCAAGTCGATTAGCCGAAGTCCTATCCTGATATCAGTGGACTGGCTCCAGTGACATATCCGTCCTTGTGTGTGACGGCTGGGGATTATGAAGCCGTGGTTTCCCACTACCAACATTTCTTAAACCCCTTGGTTGGGTCGGGGCGGGGATCGAACTTGTGACCCTGTGGATCGTAGACAGGCACACAACCTGTTGCGCTACGGCGCGCCCCACCTGTCTATAAAATTAAACGGAAAGTAAAAATTTACCTGGATCTTGAAGTCGAAATTTGGAAGACGCCAATTCTCATAGCACTGCTATATCAAGGTGCGCGTTGTGATTGGTCGAACTTAAGTTGAACCCTGAAAAAAATTTCTTAGGGAAAAAATTATTTCTTTTCACAAAGACAAAAGAAAAACGGACGGAGGTAAACTGTAGAAATGGGGAAATATATTGGACAAAATACTTTTTATGTTTTTTTTTGTTCTTGTCGACATTTAAACGTGTAAAATTTTTTACAATCGAGCTATAAAAACTTTCTACAGACATTAAAAAAAGAACAATTGAAAAAAAAGCGAATTCAGAATAGGAATTTACGTGGAAAGTGCGAGACGTGGTCCAGAATTTCAGGATTGTCATTTCTTAGTACTTTCCGAAAAAGAGAGTTTTGTCCTGGACTTTTTTATAGTCGTTGAAAATTTGAAATTCGCCTATAATAGTTATAAACTCCTGATGTGGAGGACAGGTAATGAAAAAAAAATCATGAGGACCAAGAAAAGCGGATTTAAACGAATTTCCGAATGACAGCGAAAGGTCTAGAAAACGGCTTGAGACATTTGCTCGCCCGCAACGCACATTAACTTCCTTGCTGCTCGATGCTGGCTTGGGACCAGAATCCCTAATGAATCGTTGTACATCCAATCAAACGAATTTTGGATAGCGGCTCACCAAAACACGCGGCTAGGTGCTTCGTTTGCTTTGAAGCGTTTTTAACAATGGCCAAAAAAGAGCGGAAAGACAGGTGAAATGTTTTGGCTGTTCCCGTTATCAAAGCTTTTCGTGGTTGAAAAAGTAGACCAGGCGCGTTTTGTCACCATTGACATCAGGGATGTTTTGATAAGCCCCAGGTAGACCGGCTCTGCTCTCAAAACATGTTTTGCAATATAAGGTAATGCTCTCCGGAGCCATTTCGCAACATTTCCTCACTTTTCACACTATCAAAGAGCAAACCAAAAGAAAAGAAGCGGAAATGACATTAAAATTCTTTTTTTGGAAGCTTTTTGTTTGCTCGTTGGGAGGGGGCTATGAAATTTTAATCGTTTTACTGTTCAAGAGAGCAAATACATCAATTGAATTCATGACAATGCTCAAATGTGTTTCAAAAAAATTATTTTTTTACAAGGAAAAAAATTTTTTTATTTTGATGAATAATGAAGTTCAAATGTTTCATAATATAAGCAATTTGGATTGGGAAAGCTGGGAAAAAAACCTGATCAAAAACAATACTGCATTTTTTTATCATGAATCGAGAGATTTTGATACAGAAAAAAACTTTTTCAAAGACAAGTCGACCATGTATCTTTTAAACTTCCATGCAACCGCTGCCTCTAATTTCGCAATAATAAGCATTTAGGGGCTAGCTCATATGTCACTCGAAAAAAAAGAACCGAAAAAGAAAAAGCCTAGGCTAATTAAAAAAAAAAGAAAAATAGTAGAAAAAGCGGGAGAGAAGAACTAGTCTAGGGCAGGACGTGTCTGGCCTCTGAGCAAGCGCCGGAGAGAGCACACGAGCCTCGGAGCGCGAAAGGCGCTCCCGCCGGCGTCTCTCTCACTCAGTGCTTACATTCGCGCTCGGTCATCGATCTGACTCACATTCTTGCTTGTTTTCCTGTTAAATTACCACATATTGCTTTTTAAAACTCCTTCATAACTCATCTCTCAAACGAAAAACTGACTAGGGAATAGTTAAGACTCAAGGTTGAAGATCGATTTGACTCTTCGAGCAAAAATGGTGAGACGAGATAAATATAATTTAAAAAGAAACGAATTCTATCAAAAAGTTTGCAAGATCCAAGTTAAAAATTTCAGAGGTGATGTGAGGAATGATGAAAAGAAATAATTTTTTGGTTCTTACGAAAAAGTTGAATATTAACTATGTTTGTCGAGAAACTGTTATGAATTTAAAGATGAATTTCAGCGAAGAAAAGTTTTCAAAGCATAGAAATTTTCCTAAATATCTAAAACTATTCCGTTTTTACTCAAACATTCCGATGTGAATTCATAAACTTTTATCAACTTGAACTCTACTTATCAGTTCCGAGAATTATTTTGATAAGAGTATTCTAACCTTGTCGAGGAAACTCGAAGGGAAACGATAAAAACTATGTTCTGGCTTTTGAAGATAAGTAATGTGTAGCGTATTTTAAAAATGAAATGTTTCGTTATGGACTTTCCTCAAGACAAAAAAAATTATCCGCTTTTGTGTAGAGCCGTGTTACTCAATTCTCTGGACTTGTGATTTAACAGGTCTTTTTTTATCTTAATAGCAACTTTTTTCAAAGCAATTGACACGTTCTCGAGAAAGTTTGGCAATCAATTCAGAGCGTAATGAACACGTGCGCTGATGTTTGCAAAATGAAAGCTTCAGACACAAAAAAATGAATAGGAATGGAGCGAGAAAAACAGGAAATTCTATGCCATGCAACTCGCGACCAGGATGACGTTCTAAACAGCATTTGTCGACAAAAACGGCCTCTTTCTGAAGAAAATATTTCACGTGCTCTTGACTCCATAGTAACGGCTGTCCCCAAGAAGTTTTGATCATCACTTGTTTTCAGGGTTAGAACTTTTTGAAAGTTTCGCGCTCCAATGTCGGAAAGAGAAAGTTTATCAAGGTGTCAAGGGAGAGATTCATTTTCAGCTTAATTTTAATCCCTGCAAAACTACTGATAATGGAATAACTTGGAGAGGCTTCTGAACAGAGATCGTATCCAAGAGGAAAAAAAAGCATTTCCATGAGCTTTGTGACTGAAAATGGACGAAGCAGTACAATCGAGATGCGCCCAAATGGGGAGAACGCAAATGGAAGTCCTATTTGCATAATTTGAAGTGGGAAAAGCATTAGTCATCAATTTCGAAATGAGAGGTGGGAGGCAAATCCTAAAAATTAGATAACAATACAAATAAATTTGCAGGGGTGTTGAAAACATCTTTCGCAGTACATATTCTACATGGTGCCCTCGAGGACAAGTTGTTGTTTGTCTACTCACTAGGCAGCTTCATTAAAGTTCGTCCGCTTCGCGTGGGCACAAAAACACTCGGCTGTTCAAAAAGCAACAAAAAGTGCGCGAGCAAGGGTATTTCAATAACTCCAAAAAGAAACAGGAAAAGAGAAGTTCAGGAATCGAAATGGAAGGAAGCCGAGAGAAGAAAGAAACAGCTTTCCTTTTGAACACAAACAAACGAAGTGAAAACGGTTTGGCACTGAAAAGCGTAGGCGGCGCGTCGAACGCAAATACCAAAAAAAAAAAAATAGGAAGAATGCCAGGCTGAACCCAGTTTAACTTTTGCATGAGGAAACAGAGGGAAATTGATATTTGCTGGGGTGTTACATGTTTCGTGGTGTTTCCTAGTTCATGACCAACTTGCCCTCTAATAAAATTTTGGCTCGATTGAGGGCAAAGTATGTCCAGAAACACAAAGTGAACATAAAAAACTCACTTATTGGAAGAAAAAGCAGCATCAAAAAGCTTTCAAAAATTTCTGAAAATATCTTGGTTTCGAGGATTATAGATGAAACAGAAAGATCTTCAGACGCTGAGCCATTTCTTGTGTTGTCATCAAATCATCCAACTCTTCCACTTCAAAACTTCAGTGAAAACATTTGAAAAAATTGAAAATTTTAGGATTCAAGTGGAAACGGAAAGAATATCAAAGCGAAAAGAAATTCCCATTTGAAGGCCAAAATGATTACTCTGCGATAAGAAATGGCACCGATAAGTTCCTGAAGATTCGAGCTCGCCCTCGCTCCGTTGAACTGTCCAGCAAACTGTATCGCATTTGTACGTTTTCAGCGCCTGCTTATCTTTCTCTGCCCTAATTAATGACTATCAATTAATTACGTCATTTTTTTATCTATGAACAAATCGAAGAGGGTCAGCAAAACTGCAGGAAATCGAGTAAATTCCAAGAAAGCCTCCCAAAAAAATAATGGACGTGTATTGAAAGTTCTGGGAAATGTAGGACTTCTCAAAAGTTTTTAAACAGGTGTTCAGGGAAAGACTCATTTCTTTGAAATTTTTTTATACCTCATACTTGAGAAAACGACAGCTGCAAGAAGGCATCTGCCTTTCTGGACAAGTGAAGAAGAAGTTTTTTTCGTTCTTGAAATCTCACTAATTAAATTTTGTTTTTCAAAAAGAAGCGCTTTTCATGGCATTATTTAAATGCTTTGAAAAAAATTCTGTATTAAGCTTTCATTAAATAACTTTCATTAAATAGCTTTCATAAAATACAACTCTGAAAGTTTACAAATTAGTACATTATTAGTGTCCAGTGTCTCGACAAGTTGTCTTCAAGAAGTGATTTTCTGAGAAATCAGATTTTTTTATAGTTTGATAACTTCGTCTCATACAACATCTATAAAGAAGTTTTCAGAAAGTTTTTTGTTACATAACTTTAAAGCGTCTTTCTTTAATCTTTATGAAATCATTCGTAGAACAGGTTTTTTTTTTGAGAGGCTCGAGAGAGTTCTGAGCATTCAAAATGATCGCAAAAAAGAAAGGACATGAGTATTTGCTTGTCGGCATCCTAAAACGATCCCGTCATCGGCGGCTCGTTATGGTTCGATCGAATTGCTTCCTCACGAAATGAGACGCCCAATCCCTTTCAAAAGATTTTTTCCGTTCGTGATTATCGTTCTTTTTTCATAACCTACCCCTTCTCCTTTTTTCCCAAGTGAGAGGTTTTTTAATCATTTTCATTAATAGCACATGTTCAGGCATTTGAAAAATATTAAAATTCTTTTTTCGAGAAATGATCTGAGTTTTGAAAGTGAATTTTACAACTTTGAGAACATTAATCTAGTTTTTCTTTCATCAGAAAGGTCTAACTAACAGGTTTTGCTGATTTTTCTGTAAGTTTCGATGGATTAAACGGCAAAAATGTTCACGCTTTTGCTATTATATTTTTTCTCTGAGCCCTTTTTTTTGTCTTGTAACGATCTGCTCAATTAGGAATAAATGAAAAATTTTTAGATACGCAGTTTTATAAGAAGACTACAGTGTCCAGTCAGGGGCTTCAATTTACTAA